TATTATTTCGGGTCCGAAAAATTAGTAAATATTCTTCAGACGTTCTAAAGTAAAGGTGAACAGCGTTTTTCTTAAAAATATCACTGTTATGTAGTAAAAAAAAATCCGGAAAGTTCTCGCTTCGTGATTTGTTTAGTACTTCGAACGCGGCTCGAGTCCGTCCCGACCTTGCGGCCTCGTGCTGCGGACTCTCTCTCTCTCTCTCTCTCTCTCTCTCTCTCTCTCGCACCGTCACCTCTCATTGGCGAGTGTTTTTCGTTAATAACTCGTAAACAAAGCTGCAGATTGTATTTTCGCAAAGGAAAAAGTTACTTCAAATGACCTCAGCTACCCCACATTTTCGGCTGTTAAAATAATTGTGTACGATTTTCATATTTGAGAAATATCATACATTTACAATTTTTGAAGTAATGTACTTTAATTTAGAAATAGTTATTCAGATACCTAGTAACCCCTTGCACTATAACAACGAACCAACCTCGTGATGAATTTTTTCTGAATCGGAATAAAATTTGATTCTTCGGTTATCAAAATCTAGAAATAAAAATAAATGCAGGCGTACGAAAAATAAAAATTGTCTCGTTCTAGTAGTGAAATTAAGGACGGAGAAGTTCTAATCTATGTAGCTGTGAAAGAAGTCGTAGTGCAAAGGGTTAAATAGGTTTTTGATAAAAGTAAAGTGTTATATGTATATGGATCAATTTGAAACAAAATACTAATAGCCTACTATTTGATATTTTGATACACAGAAATAACGAAAGATCCTCAGATATTCTAATGAACTTATAATTAAGATAGTAGCTGATTGTCCGTTTCTGTTTCTAGATATACTAAATCTGTCTGCCAGCGTCTATGAATTGACAAAGGCAACTCGGTACGCGCGAACCGGTATGTATAACGCGCTGCAGGCAACGCTGCTATACGACTTGGATATCGAGAGAAAGGTCGTCGAGTCCTCGAAGGATCCGGTCCTTGTGATAAAACGCAATGAAAGTCAGGTAGGAACCGAGATCGGCGACTACTCGAACTGTACCTAGCAAAATTTCGAGAGGCGGTTCGCCGATATGCGAACAAAACAAAAGCCGTGTGTCCAGCAGCTTTTTACCTACGTATATCCGTGTTACGTTACCGAGAAAGCTTCAGCTGGCGTTTTATCATAATTTTATCGCTGGAATAACGGAAACAAAAAAATGCCGCCCACTAATTGCAGAAACTAAAAAAGAAACCTTCAGAGCATCATTACGGAAATAGTACGCGTACTCACGCCAAAAAAAAAATAATAGGAGGGATGAGGTTGGGAATGGGGCTGGGAGGGGGACAAAAGAACCGTAGGCGTGTCTACTTTTTACAAGTTAATAGCCACTCCATAGTTTTCTACTGTACATATTTTTATCCCTACTATAGTACAGTCCTCGGGAGTGTCAGTTCTGGTATCTAATACTTGTGATCCAATCATCTATATCGTATGTCGCACTTTCAAAGTGATTTCGCTTGTTCTTCGCTGACAGACTTAACGGAGTAACTTAGTAAAGAGGGGCGGGAGTGAGAGGGATGAAACGAAGTACGACAACCGTGGACATTTTTATCTTTGGGTGTGCTGGTCTCTCGCGTGTCTCACGAATGCCAAAGATAATCGTTTCGACATAAGCGGAGGAATCCGTCGGGGGTGCGGTAAACGAAGAACAAGATTGCTCAGACGTACTAGTGGTAACAAACAAATATATATATACTTAAGTATATGTATATTCTATCGGGGTATATGTATATATATATTTGTTTGCAAGAATCTCAAACTATTACTCGTTTGCGAATGTGTCATAGGTTAGCCGTTCTAAACATAGGCTAAATTTTACCAATATATTTGTTCAGACGCGCTAGACAGTAATTTCCTAGACTAGTTCAATGTGGCCTTCCTTAAATGTGTGACCCAAAATGTGTGTCGGGTAGCTGATCGTCTTGGATACTTTCGGAAAAGAACGTCTCGAGAACTGACGAGGCGATAGCCATCGATATCGATTCCTCTTTGCTCTTCAATCCGCGAGCTATAATAGAGCACAGCCTTCGATCCGATCGGTGAATAGTTAATTAGATTCGAGAAAGCGAACGATGTCCACTGTGTGACGCTACGCGCGAATTTCTATGCCGAGACGAGGAATTTCCTAATTCGTGTACTTGCTATCATAAACACCGTGCTCCGACGAGTACGCGTACAACATAAGATACATGCAGAATTTTTTAGGCACGCGCGTATGCGAAACTCCATTACTATTCCAACCATACTCAGTATGTATCATGTATGTATATACACATGGTGCCGTCGAAAAGTCTTCGGTCTAATGTTTTTCGAGACGTATCAATGATACAATTTTCTTTCTACCGGTTGGTCTAGTAAACGTAAAACTTTTGCTACCTCCAACATCGAGTACATCGATTTCCGTGAAATCGTTCGTTTATGTCGCGTCTTTAAATTCAGTACGTTTTCTATGCTTATCAGTTTTCTTTTCGAATTTTTTTCTTTTTTTTTCTTTTTGCTACCATCAATTCAAATTTTGCCGAAATAGGTCGAGTAGTTTGTTCGTGTCACACGTTTGATTTTAATAAGCTTTTTACGGTTACCACGATTTTTCACGTGAAGCAAACGTCTACGTTTGATCTTAATTGAAACAAGACTAAGCATAGAAGGATTTCTTACCTAAGGATTTGATGACCGCTTTTGATATTCGCCGTCTTCTCTCTTTGATTCTATCGTCCGTCATCGATTTAGAACAATGCGTCAATGGTTTTAAGTGAAATTAAAAAGGAGAGGTAATTTGACTTCAATAAAGAGTTGTACGAGTACTTCGAAGTTTATATTTTGGAGAGAAGACATCTATTTTCAATTAGTCCGGAAACTTTCCAAATGCACCAAGTATATATATATACATATACAATACTCCTTTATCCGAATATTTATTTCTGTAATAGCTTGGTATCCAAACGTTCTATTATCTAATCATTGCATTATTTACACATACATTATCATCTACTAGGGAACTTGAATGCAATTTTTAGATAATAGAATGTTTTTGTATCAGGATATTACAAAAATAAACCTTCGGATGAGAGAGTCTCTACTGTATTTATGTGTACGTTCTAGACAAATCAGTTAGTTTTATATGTCCGACTTAATGTTCAGCATTTTCGATTTACATTTTTTCAATATGTTTCGCAATGACCATAATGCATCATTAAGAGAGTTTTAACGTTTACAGAACTGTACACAAAAGTCCGTTTTAATTGGAAGTTGTGACTACATCGCGAACTCACGTCCGCGGGAAACATCGACTTATAATCTTTTTCCTTCGTTTTATTTTATCCGTTGGAGAGCTGGGCGTTCGTCGATGTGCAATGCTTTTTTTTTATTGGTCGACTAATAAAAATATCAATTGCAAAAAGCAGAAACCAAATTTCTACTATTGTAAATTTTAGTTATTTTCTTTGCAAACGTATACAGTTTCATACGAAACTTCATATTTTCAGCCGAAGTTAAGAAAACTACGAAAGATTGTTTAAAAAAGAAACAAATGAACAAATTGCATAACAATTTTTACACTTCGACGTGGACCACTCCATTTGATTGGTCGCTTAAATTTTAGAATAAAAATCTGGTTTCAAAATGCAATCGTCAATTATTAACTACATCGAGCGTTGCCCAGCTCTCCCACGAAGATATTTGCACAACGACAACGAGATAGTACTTCTTCATCTAATTCTTTATTGTCCACAAGTTCTTCTCCGATAACCTTAAGCTTGATCAATCGGCCTGTATTAATGTTAGAATGCTCGAAATCGTTCTCACACTCGATGGATTTTTTAGCCCTTGAGCGGCGATGCCTGAAATTATCCGAGAGCACGAGCACTCAATCTCTGACAATCTATTCGAACGGAAATCTGTTGCATCACACCAGCCGTGTACAATTGGAAGCTGAAAATATGCCAGCCAACAAAAAAGAAGCTCAGACTCGTTGACGGAGTACTTTAATTCTATGTGTCCGACACCGAAAGCTTGTCCTCCTGATCTAACGTCAATCTCGGTCAGTATCATTTTCTCAGTTTCCACTATTATTTGTCAAAACGGCCCGTCATTCGAGGGTTAACACGATCGGTCTGTGTACACGTATGTGTTGATGTTCAAGCTGCACGTAATCAGCGTCCGTGCGACAATAAAGTCCGGGGAAGGTGCTCGCAGGTTCGGAACACAGTTCCCGGACTGTTTTTGTTGCTCATCGCAGTACAAATTCTTCTGGCAACCACGGACAAAATTGTTTGACACTTGATAGAGAGATGTTTTCCGTTTTTCTGTTTTCGTTTCTTTCTCCCTTTTGCGAGCAAAGAGGACGTGTTCGTTGTGACGTCGATGATAGGCTAGAAACAAGTGAGAGCAAGTAGTATGATTGCAGGGCCATTCCCGCAAAGATATACCGGCGCTGTCGAGTTTCCTAGCGGGCTGTGCAAGATTGAAAACTCGCTTCCACGCAACGCGTAATTATCGGGGACCACGTGAAACATCGTCTCCGTGCATCAGCACTCCCTAGGATGCCTTGTTTCCTTGTATTTCTAGTTTCCATTCGGTTGCGACTGGTGTTCTAGCTCAACCTTTTCACGTCCCTCCCTGTCCCCCCCCTTGGGTTGTCTTCCCGCCGACGGGGAAAGCGGGAATAAGAGGACGGATTCGTGTTCCTCGGGTCTCTGCCAAGCCCGAGCGCGTGTCCTGGATCGAAAGTATAGGCTTAGAGGGAACCGGGAGAGTATACACGCGATACGCGTACGTTAGGGTAGGATAGGATTATCGAGTGCTCACAAGCGTACAATGAACAGGTTGCATTGCATTAGGGTCGCGAACGACAGCCAGCGCTTTACAGTTTCCTTCCGCATTTGTCGACGTATATTATATTGTAACTGTGATATATATAATGCCAATTTGTACATACAGACCGTCTGAGAACCGCAGAGCCCGCGACGACCGCGGCCGATCCGTCAGTTGTTCTCTTCTTTTCGGTGTTTTCCGCTTCGCGAGTCACGCTTTGCTGTTATCCGTGTGACACAGAGGGATGTGATACCGTTAGATGAGCGCGTTTTGATGGACGCTCGCATCACTTAATCTATACGGGAATAGGTACTTATAGCTGGAATGCCGTCAATATCGTGCAATCATCCGAATTATGTGGTGCACTCGAAGACCCCACGAACGACCTCTGAATTCGTGACGTACGACCGCCGGCGGCGGCGGGTCTGTCCAGTTTACTTATTCGTTGGTATCGTTCCACACTCTTCGTTGCCCTTTGAACTTCAAAGAACTGATGTACATAGGTTTCGCAATGCTTCAGAAAATCCTCCATCCGGCAGAAAAAATATTGTCCGTAGTCAGTATCCGCGCGATTTCGTGTTCTCCTTCCGCTCTGGATTCTATCGGATTGCTGCACAAGATCCGCTCGGTACGAAGTTCAACCAGGGAATACGCCTATGCTGCTGGTCCAAGCGATGATTCTTGGCACAAGGGCTTTGAATTTCGAACTGAATTGTTCATTTGAAACGAAAACAACCTTCCACTAAATTGAAACGTTTCAGGTGCATTTGGAATATCAGCAGAGGCCATGCTTGGATTTCAGTGAAAATCGCGGTTGGAACGTAATCGTTGGGACTTATATCGTCATCGATCTAATAATGCCGAAGGATCGAAGGAAAAGAGTCGTCGAGTGTGCAGACTCAGCGAGGCTCTGGTCATATCCCATATCCATGAACAAGCAGAGTCATCAAATTAGCATTGTTTAACCCTAACACAGCGCAGGTGTTTCAGGCAATTGAGCTATCGATTAGATGCATTCGGTTCGTTCCTATTTTCTCCATTTTTCTGATTTCAAATATTATTCGAATGACTTCATTTTTTGTGATCCCCGATCTTGCTGAAAATTGCCAACAAAAGCTTAATCGGTCGAGACATTGAATAAAAGCTACCTTAAAAGAGACATCCAAGAACGAAAGATTGGTAGATCATAATAGTCTCTCAATTACAAATTAGTTTATCGATCGAAGTTATTCGCCAACAACTGATTCGACGTTCTCGAATGGCTGGACTGAGATGAGCCCCAGACACTGCCAACGAAGGGTTACGCGTGTTCCGAGACTGATAGGAGCTTCTGCAAGGAGATATTCATTTAGAAGAGGCATTTCTCGCATCATTGGCCACCGTGTCGATTTCATACTGCCATTGCATTCATTTCCTAATTGCTGAACTCTCTTGTACACGGCCTCGCTGGGTCTGCTATCTTGCTGTATTTATCACTGTCGACTGACACTAACCAAATACTGAGTTCGCGAGCCTCTGGTCACGTGGGAAAAAACTTCTAATTATTTTGGTTCGTCCAATCTCCGTATGAGAACACCTGTCTTTCCTTCCTCCTTTTTAAAGGACACAGAAAATGCTTCTGCATAAGGCTACATATACAAACATATGTGTGCATGCGCACGTACACTAAGTGATTACCTCGTGTCGTATTTATCATACGCAGCATCGTTAAGAATAGAAACACTATCTGCATAGGTACGTGTTTGACAATCCTATTTAAATTGCATGTGATATTATGTATTACTGACTAGCAAAATGTATATGTGTTTATGTATGCATACATGTGTGCGAGCTGTGTCGTCGACTCTGTCAAGGTGAGAATTGTTCCGTTAAATTCTTCAAAGAAATGTACAAATAAAAGGTTCTTCGAAATTTACATGGAACCAATTTTATTGCATCGTCTTGTTTTCCATGAGGGGAACTTGAATTCCTGAAAAATGTAAAATTACGATTTATCAATTCTAAATCTCTCGCTAAATTCGAGTTATATTTCGGTTCAAAGTTATTGCTGCGCTATTTACATATCGGGTGAAATATAAATTGTATTTTCTAGGGGCACAGTTAAGATTTAAAAAATTTGCAGGATTCGACTCGGTCGTGTGAGAAAGAATTCTTCGAATTCGTCTCGTTGATTGGAAACGTCGCGGCAATATTTCGGTGAACACGTTCGGAACACGACGGAGTCGGCGGGGCAGTTTATGCGCCGTTATTTAACAGCATACACGTGCATCGCGTATGCTCGTACACATGAACAATATGTATAGGTAAATATATGAGTGCTCAGGGCACGGTGAAGCTGCAAACGAAGAGATTTCGAAAAGCGTCCATGAACACGTGTACACAAAAGAGCAGACAAGGTAGTAACGAGGGGAAAATTAGAGAAAAACCGACCAATGTTTCACTCTGGAAACTGTCAGAGTGTATTGTTAGTGTCGTAAGATTACGATTTCATTGTCAATCAGTCGCGTCGGGTACCGACGGTGGGGAATCTAACAGACGGCGATTTGAGACGGTAAAACGAACAGTAACAGCGACACAGAGGCTTCTGTTTTTCTTTTAAATTGATTTTTAAAATTAACTTTCTTAACTTCTTGTTAACACTGAGGCGTAATCGTCTGTAACAACCGCACCTCGAAACTATCTTTTTCTTTCGCCGTGTTCAATGTTTTCTTGAACAAACTTGATATAACAAAGAATTTCCAAGTGCTCGTTATTGCAACTATATTCCAATAATTTTAATATTTAAAAACGGAAGTACCTTGCGAAATCGGAACAACTTCTTGTCAGACTTTAAAAGCGATTACTCTTTTATTTGAACACGTTGACTGCCAATGTTTCTAGCGTTAGATCGGTATCGCGCCGGGGTACGAAGGTATTCACTGTTATTACGACCGCTGGCAATGACGCTAGAACCGCCGGGCCCGTCTGTTATTTATACCAACGCCGACCAAAGTGGTTGCGACGCGTCATCGATGACTTCGTTGGTACACCGCGGTTAACGATTTGCTTGTAATTCGCCGATTCATCCGTCTCGACACGAATCGCGAGTCGTTGATCGTTCGACTTGCATTCTGTCGGCTTCGTAATGCTTAAATGGTGAAACTAAATTGACCCTCGAACGACGAATCTCACGGCAAACGACCGCTCGTGCTCTTAACGCAGATCCATCGAGGAGCAACTACGATTCCAAAAAATTGCCTCCTCTCTTTAACTTGCATCGATTGTCCGTGAAATCGATCTTCGATTAAGCTGTCAAGCGTACAACCGGGGAGTTATACTACGAGATTCAAAGACCCGCGATTTAGTTCAAAAAGATGCAACGAATACTGTTCGCGCGTCGTTCTAGAATTAGTATGAGCATCGAGAATCCGATTGACCCTGTGTTCGCCGATCGAGGGTCCAGCTTCTAGGTCTACGAAACGGTTCGATGCGAGATAAGAGGACAGGGTTGGTCGACGAGGAGTTAATCGATAATACATGGGATCGAACTAATCGAGTAGTTCTTGCCGGGAATGGATACGATTCACTATGTGGCACTAATCGAATAATAACGCTACGCGCTCAAAGGTACTCTCATCCGAGACTAATTTCCACGGAACGAACAGACATGCATTCGTTCGTTGCATGCTCTCTCGCTACGCATCTGTCTCGTTGGGGTGGGACTGGGGGGGGGGGGTAGTGGGGGAGAGATTTCTTGTACTTCTTTATTTTCTACGTGTATAAAATAATAACCGAATGGCAGTTTTACATTGTAGCCAAGGGATTCACGCATTTCTCGACTCATAGCTCAACTACCACGGCCGCTATTGCTTTTCTCGTACTTCTATATCGCGCAAACTTCCTGTTTTCCCTTCTGCAGATCGGTTACACGCACACGCGGCGCACACGAAACATTCTCTGTTATCGCCGAGGATAGAAAAGAGGAATATCTTGCTGTGCTTGGAACATCGCTCGCTCCGCCTGTTTTATCGAAACCCCGATTGCAATCTCGCGTGTTCGAACGTCTCGAGAGTGATTTTTCACGTATATTCGCGGGTCGATTTCGTAACGGCGAATCACAGTGTACGGGACGCGTATGCGAGTAGATACGATAAACGAAGGGGGGGAAAAGGTGCAGGTTTTGCGCACCGTTAGACGACCGATGTACATACGTAGCTCGTTTTAGAACGACTAGGGGCTGCATAGGCTAGTTTCTAGAACGATATCGGTGTAACCATGTCTTTTCTTAGCGCTCGGCAAGGATGTAGTTCTGCTAGAGTTTTGAAAAAGAGTTCAAAGCGCCAGGCGTGTTAGAAAGTGTTTTCCAAGAATCTGCCGCGCGGCGACGCGCATTCGCTGTATGAAAATCGAAAGGAACTTTTTCTCTTTCGGGAATTCCCGAGTTCGTTATACGAGATATATCGTACAGTAATCGAGATGCTGCCTAGATCTCGAGAAACGACAGAATATATTTACGAGAGCACATTCGTATATGCGATCGATGTTTATCTTTTTTATGAGCGAACAGGTTCTTCTGGGAGGTATGTATGTAGTAGGGGACGGGTCTTACGAATATCGATAGAGTTTTCATTAACGCTCGTAAGAATTCCGATTTCTAGCGAAAATTTCCGACTTATCGAAACGGTTAGAGAATTCCCAAAGCGTAGTTAAAATTACTAGACATAGTTTAATAGGTCCGAGGACATTGTTCGAAGTTTCGTAGCGGAGTGTGTGCGATCGGTGCTGGATCGATCCGCGGTCCCCCCGGGGACCCTGACGACCGACGAAAATCAATACTCGACACGTGGTGTTCCTCTTTAAAGTTAGGCGTGAAATTTCTCTGAGAACTATTGCCGACCACCGGAAGGACGATTCTTCAGTTTCCGTAATTCGTTGGTTACCGTTATCACTCGATTAAGCAATAGTCGGATATATCTTGGATTCTCGCCGGGTGCAAGCGCCATCGGCCAACACGATTTCTGCTAATGTTTGCGCTTAGAATTGAATTTTATTAATTTGTTTCCCGCAGTCGGAACTGTGTGTTGTGTAGTCGTCTTTGTTGCGTCTGTCTTCATCATGAAAGCGTGATATAATTGGTTCCAGAGTCAGATGATACATCTCGGTGCATGTAATTTCAGATGCCTAAAAAAATTGATTGTCTTCGAGGGGAAACGATCTCTCCGACCTGAAACATTTTCTAGTCATCTTCGGTATCGTACGGTTTCCGTGTAATTTTAGCATTTAGCAACCGCTACGCTTCTCGGCGAAAACAATTTTTAAACCGATACTCGTCGGCTGTTTTTAAATTATTCGTGGTTTTTATTTATTGTCTATCGTATTTAACGTGGTTTAATGTTGGAACGCGCGCCAACGAATCGTAGCGGAGGAGAGATCGTTGATCACGGAGATCAATTATACACCTCCGAAGATGAAACGTTATAATGGAATGACAAGCTCCGTCGAGCTTGAGCCACTGAAATCGCAACTGTTGCACCCAATGAACGATAAAGAAAAGAGTAACAAGGAAAAACATTCTCGAGTTTAATAAGATTCTATGTTATAAGATATGGTTATAATAACGAATAGTATCGAAGAAAAAAAAACGTTGATACTGAATGGTCAATTATTTAATCATCTCTAACGGACTGAAACTTGAACCCAGAGAAATGAAATTTACTAAACGAAACAATTGTTTCCGTAACTCGTGAAAGTGCTTGCACTTTGATTCAGCGAACATTGTCCAGTACATATAATACTATGCATCCAGCAACTCGAAAAATGTAAACTGGTAACCGGTGGTATTGATTCGCGCATCGACACGCGACCGCTCTCGCGCTATAGCTAAAATTGAAACATCTCCGTGACAAGTATCGCACGCGACGCAAAAACCAATCGCCGGCGTGGATCCACACGGAGATTCCCGATTAGGTAGTTCGCTTGAATGTTAGGTAAAAAAAAGGTTTTTAGAGAAAGTAGCCAATTAGCGAGATGGAGACTAGACAATTGATGGGATCGATAGCCGATAGTACGAAAATGCATATTAATACTTAATATATATGTATATAGGTGGAGTATTTACATGTATCTATGTCAAAACTATCGTGAATTATACTTAGCGAAATATAGACGAACGACTAGAGAAACGGACACTTCGTGTTTCCTAGAAAACGAGTAGACGAGTTTGCGAAGACGACAGTTAGCTGAAATTTTAGGGATCTTTCCGTTACCCCGACTAAACCGCTGGCTAGGTGCACACTCGTTTATCGCTGATAACGCGACTTTTCTCGGCCGTTCGTTCGCATCGTCTCGTCGACAAAAGAGTCGGTACGAGAGCAGTCCGCCTCTTCATATCAGTCGATTCCGACGGCAGATTTCCTAGCGGATGTTTCTTAGTAATAATTTTCCAGCTGGTCCCGAACGCGGACTGCGACGTTTTAATTGTAAATATCCGAAATTATTTCAAATTCGCGTTCCTATCTCTGCCGCAGCCTAATCTCAGCGCGGGCAACGGAGCGCTTTTGATTGCACCAGGGGCGTGCAGAGCGCGCGGTAGGCGTGGCTCGCACGGCTGCTCCGCGCTCGATCGGAGCCAATCCGTGTCCACGTCCGGCCCAAGGATTCGAAGTAAGCGTTTCTAATTGGCTTTGGTGCTCGCGTCGATTTTAGGTTCGGCGGGTTTTCCCGGTGATTTGTTTCCTTATTCCTTTCTCCGGGATCGTCTCGGACGATCCTCTAGGCGAATTTGGTAGTCAATTATAGTTCCTGTATTGTTAATATTTATATTTCACGTTGTTGGGCAATCCGGTCGACATCGGGCTTATCGACCGGGCCGATTCGTTTACCGTGCACGGAGCCCCGTGCACGGCGACACACCACATATCGATGATGAGAATGAATAGTGAATATCAGCAGTATCTTGCCAGCGGGTTTACGACTCGCGCCTTTCTTTTCCCCGCTTGTTCCGCATTATCGAGAAGAGAATAAGAAGCGATTCGAATGATTCTCTAGGTGTTTTAGATATTCCACTGCAACGACAATTACATTTTCCCGTCCATGGGCTCTCTCGGACAACGACGACCGATGGAGAACGGAAACGCGACGGGGATACGCGCAGCACAATTGCATTATCCACACGCAATCGTTTCATAGAGCACGGCACTAGTCTAGCTAAATTCACGGTAATAATACTTTATTGCGAGCCGAGCGGGGGTAAACTCGTGTTTCGTTGAATGGTCCAACGGAGCCGATATTTTCGAAATTGTCTTTCATGTGCCGTCGTTCCGGCGCCGGGCCCGGTCGGGCCCCTCCAACCGGAAACGACGGCGAATCATGCACGGAAAATGTATGAAGTCGTGTCGATGTTTGTTAGTAGTAGCGTAAATTAGGATCTTGATGGATCCTCAATCAAATTCAGCGATCGAATGTCGCAACGATTGGTACGCTTGGGTGTGTCTAAGAGAAACAAAACGGGAGGTAAATATATATAAAATATAATAAGCGAGAAAAATCCAGAAAAAAAAAGATGTTTGCCAATATAGAGAGTGTCCCGCGAATCATCCGCGTCGCAGGCTAAATTTTCTCAGGGAAATGTTAACCGGGAAGCAGTGATCCGTGAACGTAGAACCGATCGATCGCGGTCGATCTTCTTTCGCGACACCGGCAGGATCTCGACCGGCGGAACAGCGAATATCCGTCGCAAGAATGCGTGTTTGTCTTTTATATTATTATTATTATTATTATTATTATTATTATTAAGCTAAAGTTGAAGGGACTGCAATTTACGAACGATCGTAAATGTTTTTGTTCGATCGCGAAACGTTATATTATTATCCAAAGATTCGTAGATATCGGGTGATCATTGCGGTCGGAAAGTTTTAAATGCAATAATTCCATTTTCTTTTTAGCTCCCTGAAAATAATTGCAGTTTTCGTTTGGTTCCGATCCCCGCGAAATTCGTACGCGAGCCGTTCGAAGCGATTCGAAACCTAACGTCGCCTCGAACCTTCGGTTCGCGTAAACGAAGAAAATGGATAAATTCGATGTTCCCGACCACTGCTTCCGATGATACGAGATCCTGCGGGGGTCCGGTTCACACGCGTCGTGCAACGAGAGAGAAGGTTAATGCGATTTCGTGGCCGTCATGCGCATAATTTGCTCGCACGAAGACAATCGTTTTACGCCATTACAGAAAGTAAAAAAAAAACGCTCTGCTGATTCAGGGTAACGGGTCATCGACGGGGAGGGGGGAAAAGGGAGTAAAAAAAAAAACGACAAAACTAATAATAATAATAATAATGAAAAAAAAGAGAATACTAAATAATAGTAACCGAAGAAACGAACATCGATGTCGCGAGGGGAATACTTGGTTTGCGGACCATTAAATACCAAACACTATACAACGATCGCGTTACAATAATTATTTAACATAGGACCGGAAACGAAGGATTGCGACGAGATCCGACCATCCGTTCATGAATCGAGAACTGTGTAGAGGGGCCGTGATCGGGGCCCGACCGCCGAAAATCATCTCCGGAGATCCGATCGCGATGGGAATCGATGGTCAAAAATCGATTCGACGCGGGGAAACGAAGGATCGTCTCGATATATCCGATCGCGATAGGATTCCTTGCCGTATTGCGGTGAAATCGGTTAGTAAATTTGATTGAGGACGTTATTTAAGGATAATAGTTCCGTGTACGTTTCTCGGCTAGTAGCGAGGTTCGGCTAGGTTTCGTGTTAGGACATCCCCGTGATAATATTTGTTCCGTGGATTTCGATCTGGAGATACGAGGGAAGCGAGATGCGTGTATTTTGCTGGAATTGTCGTGTGGTCGATACATTCGCAAGCATGGACACGCCAAGTTAAGAGAAGGAGAGAGAGAGAGAGAGGGCGATGTATATGTCGAATGTGAGAAAGTTGCGCTTGATAAATCTTCTTGATACCATTTCAGAATGGTCGTTCCGACCTCTCTTATTTCTTCGGCGTCCATACGGTTCAGATAGGATTAATAGATAACCGGATCTCGAACGATCCGGTTCAACGTAGACATCGCCTATCTTAGATTGAAGTTAGCTCCGCGATTCTGAGTGTACACTCGACTGTCACACACGCGAAAAACTGTTTTCCACTATGCAACGTGATTTATCCGTCGGTATCTATCGAATTTTCTATATATCGCGGGATTTTCGAATCGCTGTCTCGTTAACGATAAGCCACTTCAATTCGTTCGTTGATCCTTTGCACTTCGTCGACCGCGAAGATACATGCAACGCGTACCTCTCCGCAGCTTGTATCGACAACAATAATAACCGTATTCTTTCTACTTCTCTGTTCCGATCGAGCGAAAAAGACAAAAGCCAACGAAGCCGAGTCTTTTGATTCTCGAAAGCTTGATTGTCTCGCGCGTGTAACAATGCTCGGTAGTATTAAGGGTTAATTAATCTAATGGTAAACGACCTAATTCTTTGCTTACACGCATAAACATATATACGTATTGGTCAAAGCATAACGACGATCGAGGTTCCGCCGATTAATTCGACCGCGAGTTACGTCCTACAGGTTTGTTCTTCTTTTTATTTTCTCATCATCGAGTTCGCGTTGACAGCGACAACGCTGTTCAATCGTCCCGAGATCGGGGACAATTAACGATTACCGGGATGTAACTCTTGATCGAATTAATTGCTAGGTTTTTATCGGCGTCGATAATGCGATTACGATTACATTTTATCCGAGGAGTGCGCAGCGCTCGCGTGTAATTCGAACGGTTCGAAGGTGCATCAGATTGTAAGAAGTTCGCAATTTCACCGCACATGTTGCAGAAATGTTCGGTTGTTCCGCGAATCTCTAGGCTCGCGATTACCCAAGCGGATTTTCCTGTTACGGTTAATTCGCTGCCTCTTAATCCGTTAACGAGAAATCGTTCTCGACGATATAGTTCTTCTGGAAAGATCTGCTTCGAATAAATTATAGACAAACGATTTCAGCATGAAATTATTCAACCAAATAATAAAGCATTCCAACATGGAATTACGATCACGGCGCAATGTCGACAGAGTCGCCACAGATTCGCGAAACGACTTGTCGCGTGCATCTCGAACAATTCTCGTCGTTGCAGGCCGAAAGACCGTTCACCGTCAAGTTCAAAGCGAGGATTACGTATTCGAACCTTTCGACGTTCAATCAAACTAAATCTAATTCGTCCTTGGAAACGCACCGAACACGCGTTTTAAAACCCGTGCCCCGCGGATACGTATTCTAAGCAACACCAAAAATTCGTCGATCTCGCCGTGCAATACTGAAAATAAAATTCGCCTTAAGAAGTTCGCACGTTTCGCGGCTGCCACGACGCACGAAATTCACGAAAAAAAAAAAACAAACGATCGAACGAATGACGAAAACGAAGGAGGACGAGGCGAAAGAGAAGAAGAAATACCGAACAAAAAAAAAAGAAAAAGAAAAAATAACGAGAAATAGCGAACAAACGAACAAGAAACGATGCTCAAATTGTAAGTGACGACGCGTGTCGGTGTGCATCGAACGGATGCACCGATCAGATACGTACACTAAAGACTGTAGGAGATTCTAAGAGAACGGTAGCTCGCACCTTCTATGAATTGCACAAAAATAATTTTTTACGGGTATACATATAATATTATACATACATACATGTACATATACGCGCGTGTATACGGACGCCGTTCTTTTGGGAAGCAAAGAAAAAAAAACGACAAAAGAACACTGTGTACCACCTACCGCAGATTCGCTTTCGTCGCTTTCGTCGAGCATCATACCTTTTCTTTCTCACGCAATCGTCACACGCTTACGCACGTGTTCCGCACGCGTACACACGTTAATTACGTTATCTCTACGGCTGGTTTTCCATTCTCACGGGGAGAAGCTGATCGAGATAACACACCGTTATACTGCCGTGATAGCAGAACGAAACGAATAAACAGAAAAACCACTGCGAGCGAAATCGTCGCGTTCCCTCTCTGGCCGATTTCTCGTTTAATTGTCGAGAAATTCGTTGCGATTCGACGGCCGTGCCGAGGAACGACGACGCGAAACAATGGGATAACGATACGACGATGCGTTGTCGAGCTTTTTCGCTGAATTTACTTAAGTTCCTTAAATGTAAAGTTCCTTAAAATTGCGTTCCCGTGATACGGAAAACTGTTCGCTCAATTCTGTATGCCGAGTCGGTACCATTTTACAGGGCGAGTCTAAACGAGCGGCATAGTAATTATTGCTCACAGGCTGATTCGAATGATTATGTTTCGATGCGCGAACGGAAATAAAGATCAACTGAGAAACGTGATATTTCATGGTTAAATCGTAATTTTATTCTGTTTGTTTGTTTTTGTTTTTATTCTTGGGACAGCTCGATGGCAACTGATCGACGCTTCTTTTTTTTTAGATTAAAATTGACTTCACGATTCGAATCACCTGTGGTGTCTTAAGAACGATTTTTCTTCGAGTTTATCGAAAGTTTTTGTTGAAGAGGGTGGTCGCGGCTCGTTTTAGACTTCCTTGAATGGCGAAAGAAACATTAGCTTTATTATAATAACTGCGATTATGAGTTTTCAGTCGTGGGTGTGAGTACAATTTACAATGGCCTTATTGCGTTTAAAGCCCAAATTATATCATTGGAGTGTCCAATGGCGACGGAAAAATAAACTTCGACCAATCGTTTATTAGTGTTTATGTCCGTTTTTTCGTTCAACGCCCGGGTCTAAGTTCACCGCTGTAACGAAATTTATATGACTGTTTTGGTTTCAACGATTGCACGGAAATCAAGAATGTTTTCTACCTCGCCTCAAGGTAACTTGCCCAAACATTACGAATCCAATGGAACACATGTTCCCTAAACGATTTCTCAAATCTGATTTCGACGGTGTAAAAAATTGTCGGCAGCTCGATGTATTATTATTCTGTATATGGTATCAGGTTGGTTGTTTTTAAACTCGATTCGCAAGAAAAGAATGTTCGAAAAGAATTTGCGAGAAAGAAATACTTAACACGATTCCAACCATTTTACTAAAGGTTTCATTGGGCTCGTCCGTGATTATTGTCTTCGTTTCGCTGCATTCGACAAACGCGTGAACATAAACGTATTATATTTGTTGCCGGATCCACGATTGTTCGCAACAAATAATCCGACACGGCGGTAATGGAACGTTTATCTTTCGCGAACGTGTTACGTTCTCGTAAAAATTGTATCTTCGGCGCGACGACGAATAACAAATATGTACCGAACAAACGATCAGCTTCGTCGATGTTATTTTGAGGCGGGGCTCCATATTCGTTCGGTTCCCTCGATGCTTTTGGGCTGTGATTTTTACAACGCTGAACATCTGAACGAACCAGGCCTCTATTTCTCAAGCGATACCGTATATCGACAATCCAAGCCGTGAGAACTTTCAATAGACTTCGACTGACCGTTTTCTTATTAACCCTCTCTCCGAATTTAGAGATATACGAAACTTCGGCACTCTTTAACTTAAGCGCCGCTTGCGAAAGAATATTCGATCTACAGAGAGAGAATGAGAATGTGTGATAATGAGAGAGAGAGAGAGAGAGAGAGAGAGAAATAAAAGTATGTGTGCGAAAAAGAAACAAAGAGAGAGAGAAAGAACGAAACACGAGCGAAGGCAGCGAGAGAGAGAGAGAGAGAGAGAGAAACAAATACTTAAAAGGACAAATATATGGGATTTGGACGCGAAACGGAGAAAAGAGATGAAAATTAACTGTCGTTCTTAGTGTTTTATATATAAATATATATATGTTACGTTTCAGTGTACTCTACGAGTCGTATAAACAATACGATCCGTACATGATAATATAACACAAATATATATATGTATATATGAATACATCGTTAAATGGGCTGTGGTAGAAACCTTTATATACTTTATACACCAGACGAGTCGGATCCTCTTTGTTTCGTTTGTCTTTCGAGCTAAAATGAGAACGATTCATCGATATTATAGTAACGAAAGTAAACCGCGGGGATAACAGAGCACGAAATGATAAAGAAGCATAGCAGAAAAGAGAACCGCGCACCGGATCAATGTTAACGGCATTCATTTTAAACAGGAGACGCTTGTCGTTTTGAGTGCGTAGCCACTTTGTCCTATATTCTGTCACACAACGATTACCTTGCACAAAATGTACCTAATTACACGTAATATATTGTAGGATCCGTCTTAATGATTGTCAATAATATTGTACCTACCGTGCCCGTGGACGTGGACACGCGGGCGAATTATGATATTAGGCTAATAAGGCTGTAAGCTGTAACTACGATTAGATAGAGAACAACAAAAATCCAGTCGCTGAAAACTGTACTGTGATGCACCTGCTTCGAAGACCAACCACAGCGCACTTTATTATTCGCCAGCCTCCATCCGTATGTTTTTTCTTCTTCCTCCAAAACAGTGGTTCCGAAACCAGTCCACACTTTCGTTGATCGAATGTCAAGCAAGTTCCCGACAAAAAGCTAGCACATTTGTGGCGTCGATTTTTTCCTCTTTTTTTTTTTATTCGACATCGGTAATATACTTTTCGACGTATGGAAAACGTCTCGTCAACAAATATTTATTTTAATGCGAGGTCGTTCGCGTTATTTCGGAAATCCTTTCGCGAACCATGCTTTGGAAATCACGGATTCAGCGGGGACCGATGATACTTCTCTCTCGTTCAGCTCTCCCTTTCTCTCGATTTGTCGGAGACGCGCCCTGTCCAGTTGCTTTTCGAAGCGAAACTTTCGAAAAGTCCATTTATAGCTTTACAATGCGGTCGACCAGAGTGCTCGGCCACTTCACCGAACGCGCAACGATGCCTACCTTTCTGACAAATTCGACAGTCGTCTCCCCGGTAGAGCGTCGAGAATAGTCCTGGAGTCGAGCACCCTGGTCGCGCAAGCACGGAACGTGCGAACTCTGAACGCGATTTTGATATTTCGAAGCTTTTGTTTTGCGATACCGCCTGTAGACCACGATGATCGTCGCGCGGTTGTATACAATTTTGATTTTAGTTGACGCTTGCGTCTCGTAGTCACGTTTAGAACGATTTTACGCACATGTTTCTCCTTAGCCTAACGTGTTCCGAGATCTCGGACGGCAATTTGGTCCGTCGCGTTTGCGGACTTCGGACTCGACGGACCCTTTATCAGTATTTATCGTCCCGGTTTCTTTTTTATTTATTTCGTAACGTAGCGATCGTATTTCTTTTCGTTACCCTCCGACCGCCGATTCTTTCGTAAGACGGCGAAAAAGCGAAAGCGTCCACCGGGGTGCCACCCACTCCGTCGAAGGGTATCTTCGAAGCAGGGTGCACAAATAATTGTTTATATGAATGTCATAGCCCTAGTTCCGCTAGTTGGACAGACGAACGAATGTTTAGAACCTTGCTCAATAAAGAAAACGTTAATTTCGATGTCGTGAATTGTATCGTTAATCTAAGTTCAATTCCCAGGTCGAAGCGAGGCTGGCCATTCTCGCGAAACGATTCGGGGAGGGCGGACAACGTCGTTGCCCGATCTGACCGAATTCTCGAGCGACATACGTCATGGACGTTTTCTAGAAGTTTACGAGAATTCTCTCGAACCGTTAACCAGGCTGAACTATAAAGTCCGGAGCAGGATCTCGCGTGCAAATGACTTCTTTGTTACCAAGATTCAAATTCTTTTGTTGCAAGTGCACATGATAGAGAGTTGTGCACGAGAAGCGTTTGCGAGTAGAAACAATTGAATTTTATTTTCACAGTGGCACCAGCCGATCCATCGTCTCGGGTTCCTAGCGGAATTCGGATCCAGTATTTTCAAAATGAACTTCCATTATCTCTACTCGTCGCTGCGTGGCACCTGCGACAACAAGCATCGAATCGTTAACAAACGGGCTGTTTGTACGCGTAGAATTTTCGCCCGGTACGAACTTCTCACACCCCTCTCGTCGGCGTCGATGCTTAACGTTTTGCACACAACCCTTCGAGAAGTTTGTCTTGCTTGCGTGTCTGAAGATCGCATCTTTGTCGATTTTCTTTGGTCGCCGCGTGCGTTCGTCGGCCGATCCAGGAATTATTCTCGAACGGAAATGATCCGCGCGATGTTGGACACACACAGGACCACGTTTTCGTAAACGTAGAGATAAGATCTTTGAGCTTAACATGTATTCTCTCGTGGAACCGTGTATAAAACTCCTGTTTGTACCTTACTAGTTTACTATAAACGCTATTGTAGATTACATATTAGTGGAATTGAAAGTGATAGAGCGAGAGAAAGGGAGAGAGAGAAAGAGAGAGAGAGAGACGGAGAAAGAGCGAGGAAAAGGAAAAGAAAAAAGAGGAGGACAAAGGCGCACGCGATCGAGGAAAGCGACGAGAGGCAAAGAGACAAAGAATGTTTAATGTCCATTCAACGATCCTGTTAAGTCCATTATTTTTGTGCTACCGGGTGATTAAACATTAGTGTTAGCATCGTTATCAGGAAGGGAAGATGCGTACAGTTGTATCGTGCTTTTGCTTCGAAATGTCTCGTGATTCTAACACGATTGTGTTAAAACGTCTCGAACGCACGAACGACATTCTATGAAAGACTATATCAGCAAGGCTGGTGATTAGATTTCGGTTAGTTCCTTTTTTTTCTGTTCAGCATGACAACGGTTTAGCAGATATGTTTTACTGAAAGTGTCCTTCCTATGTAAATTTACTTGTTTGTCCTCATAAATTACAAAATAAATGATATCTTTCGTGTTCACGTACACTACCGGGTTCCTTTATTTTTCTATCACGCGCACCCGAGGTACCGCTGAAACGGTAAGTGAAACCATTTGATACTGTAATAAACATTCGTGCCGTAGTAACAATAAATTTACTCGATATCACAAAAATTCAATCTGTATTTTTTCATTAATATTAAATCTACAGTACGCTAAAAATGGCTGACATGCGTTGCTTCATAAGAATGTGAAAAGACTGAGCTTATTCAGACTTTCGTCATTTTCATTATAATGGATTAACAAATTTATCGAATCATTTCCTATACAGTAAATTCTCTCTAATTGACCCTCAGCTTGTAAACAAAAATAGGGGGGGGGGGGGAGACACGATTATTCGAGCCTCGTGGCTCGTTTTTATAGTCGCCGATTATCACAACTATAAAAACGAGTCGCATGGCTCGAATAATCGTATCTTCTCTTCGTAAATCGTTTATTTTTGTTTACAAGCTGAGGGTCAATTTTACTGTACTCTCTACTTGTTTAGTACTGCAATGACATTTAACGTATTTTACATGAATAATTAATTTTCGAATTCTACAGATATTATTTGTGTATTATTGTAATTTGAGAATCTAAACTGAAGTCTTAGCTACATTCCTATTTCAATTTCGTATAATTACTTCGTTTTAATTACTTAGATATTAACGATTTTTGGAGTGTCTCAACGTTGACCATGTCATGTCATATCATCATGTATCTGCCTTTGTCATGCAATGCTACCCTCCTTGTCTTATACATTTCACGTATTAGAGAATACTAGAACTCGAACCTATGCTAAACTGTAATAGAAATGTGAAAAATTGAAAATTGAATCCGTAAAATTTCAAAATTAATTATTTATGTAGAATACGTTAAATTTTTAGGAAAATTTTCGACCATAAATAAAATGTAGGTTAGTAACCCTCTAATAATTAGTGTCTTCTGCGACTTGATAGGTTGTCGAGAAGCTCTACGAGTGCCTTTCTTTCTCTGCAAAAATTGCGCGCGCGCGCGCGTATATCTGCCTTATCGAATACCTCTTTGCTCATTATATTTCACGCGTACGTAACAGAGAATTCGAAGTGTACGCCAAAAGTTGCGAAGGTAGAGAGAATTAGTTCACGAAGTCGCCACCGTAGATGACGTCATCCCTGTGATTGAGTATGTAACTACGCATGCGCTAAAAGTCACTGATAAGAACAGGTGATTTGAAATCATTCGAGATTGATAAATCAGCTGTCATTTTTCCCATCTTTAGCATATTGGTGCATTATTTTTAAAACTCGAGTCGCAATATTAAAAAATGATGTCGGAAAGGGATTATGCACCTCTCAGCGCAGCTTGTGTACGTTCTCTAAATGACAAGCTTTACGAGAAACGAAAAGCAGCTGCTTTGGAAATAGAAAAGTGAGGTTATGAATGTTGTTTACTGATATTCTTGTCCCACATTATTGCTCACACCATTTTAGTATTATTTTATCTATATCTCATTTTAGGATGGTCAAAGAATTTGCTGCTCATAATAATACCGTTCAGATTAAACGACTTTTAAAAGTATTAGGTCAGGATTTAGCCACTTCACAAAACCCACATACACGTAAAGGTGGTTTGATAGGCTTGGCAGCAATAGCAGTAGGTCTGGGGAAAGACACTGGCCAATACATAGAAGATTTAATTCATCCTATTTTGGCTTGTTTTTGTGACTCTGACTTGAATGTAAGATATTATGCTTGCGAAAGTTTATACAATGTGGTAAAAGTAGCTAGAGGCGCTGTATTACCACAATTTACAGATATTTTTGCAGCACTTAGTAAACTAGCATGTGATTCGGAACAACATGTAAAAAATGCTACTGAATTACTCGATAGACTGATGAAGGTAATTATAATTTGTAGATCCTATGAAAACTATATTTCTATAAGCTGTAATTTCAGGACATTGTCACAGAAAGTGGTTTGTTCGACCTAGTTGGATTTATGCCACTATTAAGAGAACGTATTTGTACCAAAAACCCATTTGGTAGACAGTTTGTGATAGCATGGGTGTCTGTTTTGGATGCTGTACCTAACATGGATTTTATTATATTTTTACCCGAGATTCTCGATGGTCTATTTAAGATACTAGAGGATCCAACACCAGAGATTAAGAAAGTTACAGATACAGTCCTCGGTGAATTTTTACGCAGTATAAAAACTAATCCAAGTAGGGTGGATTTCCCTGGAATGATAAATATATTAATTACGCACGCGCAAAGCACAGATGAATTACTACAATTAACGGCGATCACGTGGATCAAAGAATTTGTACACTTATCCGGACCTCTTATGCTTCCTTATATGTCTGGTATACTTATAGCTGTTCTACCTTGTTTAGCGTACGACGGCGATACTAGAAAATGTATTAAACAAACTGCTACTCAAGTGAACGCAAATTTGATGAAGTTGATAACTATGAAGAATGTACAAGTTTTAAATAATGCATCAGAAAGCGGTGGGCAACCCGTACAAGGTAAATTGCATTTTCTAAGGTATTTCATATACATTACAACTTACTTATTTTATAACTTATCTCCTTTCTTAGATGCCAGTCAAAATGATTCTTTAGCAGAAACTTTAGACTTACCTAGCGTTGTTGAAGTGCTAACGAAACATTTAATGTATATATCAGTTCAGACAAAAGTAGCTGTTTTAAAATGGATACATCATTTGTTTATACACATTCCGCACAAAATGTTTTATCATATCGATAATTTATTCCCAATTTTAATGAAGTCTTTGAGCGATAATTCTGATGAAGTAGTCCAACAAACGCTGGTAGTAATGGCTGAAATAATCAGTTCGAAGTCTCCTGAAGCAGCTACTATGGATTCAAATGCAGAAATGCAAAACAGATACTTCACCAAATTTATAGTAAATTTATTAAGACTTTTTTCAACCGACAGGAATTTGTTGGTAGAGAGAGGAGCATTTATCATAAGAGAATTGTGCGTATTATTGAGTGCTGAAGATATTTATAAAACATTGGCAAAAATATTACTGGATGAACAAAACTTGAGTTTCGCTTGCACAATGATACAAACTTTAAATGTTATATTATTGACGAGTTCGGAACTATTCGACTTACGAAATAAACTTAAAGACTTAGATTCTATTGTAAGTTCTTTTTTCTTTCTTATAATTTGACTGTCTTTTATATCTCGTGCATAATTGCAGGAAAGCTGTGAGTTATTCAAATGTTTATACGTCTCCTGGTGCCATAATCCTGTTGCAACCGTTGCTTTATGTCTTTTGTCGCAGCATTATGGACATGCGTGCAATATTATAAGATCATTGTATCCTTTATTATTGTATTTAATTCACTGCTTAACACATTCGACGAAATAGTTTACTATATCTGTAATTATACTTAACTAAAACCGAATATAGTGAAAATATAGAAGTTACTGTCGAATTCCTCATAGAAATTGATAAATTAGTACAGCTGATCGAATCTCCAATATTTACATGTAAGTATTGAACACTAACCGAAATTTGCACACGTAAGTTTTAAACTTTTTAACTGAAATTTATATCTATAAAAAATCAATTTATTTCAGATTTAAGATTGCAACTTCTTGAAAGAGAAAAGAACGACGCACTGGTGTATGCACTTTATGGTCTCCTCATGATTCTTCCACAAAGCGAAGCATATGCAACACTGCAGAAGCGTTTAGCAGCAATTCCACCAAAGACGAATGTTATACCTGCAACTCCGCCAAGTTCAAAACCCTCAGAAACAATGTTCGATTTTCCTGAATTGTTAAAACACTTCCACATCGTTCAAGAACGACATAAAGAACAAAAACGTAAACAACGGTTAACGAATTTGATAGAAAAAAATACAAATCATAATGATATGTAAATATGAAATATTTTTCTATTGTATTCGTGATCGAAATGCATAATTATAAATGTTCATGAAAAAAATCTGGTCATTTAGTTACACAAATACTGTCATAAAATGAAAATATACAAACTACTCGCTTTCATGATGTTTCACTAACGACAAAAGTTATGAAAAATTGTATAAAGGAAGTATTACTGTAACATTTATATAAACATAAACTTTTAATTGTTATAAATAATAATTTTTATGTAGATAAACTGGTATATGTATATATCTATTTTTTTTACTGTACATACATAATAATGTATTAATGTACAATGGTATATCTGCTGTCTTTTGTATTCGAAGTACAAAAGTTTAATAGGCACAGTCGATATGGATGAAAATGGTCCGTTTTATAATTCACAATTATTAATGTTGTGTATATATATTACAAACGTGGAAAAATTAGGTTTACTATTCGGCTTCTCCCGGAATTTCGATTCTAATCTTATTTAATTCATAACTCGAGGAGAAAAGGATTTAATGAGCTGAAAATAGTCACTTTCATCTGGATTAACCAGGCATAATGAGCAAATATTTTAATCCAATGTGACATAATGAGCATTTTATAATTCCATAATTTAACGTTCAAAAGTTTTTAGGCGATAGATAAACACACAAGCATATGAACATTCTGGTATATTAGATATAATCTGTCGTCATTTTATACATATTTACACAAAATATAGCAATTTCCACTTACATTCCTTGCCTGATAAAGGAAAATAATTTATAGTTCTTACACTGTACATTCTGCCTTAATGTGTGCTCGTCTATTTAGATACTGTACACTGTTTATTTTGTATTACTATGAATTCTTGAACTTTACTGTACACATCAGTCTTCTTAAAAAAAAATTAAAGGAAATGCTAGAAGTTAAAGTAGAAATTGTTAAATGATATCTATTCCGAATCTTCTTCTAGGTCTTCCTCAGGTGTCGATAAAGAATTAAGCTGATCAATAAGTAATTCGTTTGTGTACAGAAGCATTGTAATGTGTTCTTGCGCAACACATAATTTTTTACACACTGATGTAATTTCTTGGTCAGATTGGATGGTTTTTTCCATCGTTCTCAATTTTCTTGGATCTATCAGGTGTAAAATATTTTCATACGGTTCTTTACTTTCTTGCGATAAACGATACGAATATGCTTGTAATACATGCTCGTAATTATCTACGTCCTTGTCTAATATTTGAGTCTGTAGGAAAACGGTTTGTGCAATTTTGTACCAGTCAGCAACATATTCAGATCTGTTTACCATCGACGGTATACAAAATGTTTCAAGAAGATTCTTTATTCTTTGTCCTGTTTCTGTCACCTAAAGAAAGAAATTCCAGAATTAAATAATAAATTCTATTTTATAATTCCGCTTCCTCTTGCATTTATTTTACAACGTAAGAGTTTCGTTTAAAATACCTTTATTCGTTCCAATACATGAAATTGCTCATCATTGTACGTGAGACTACGGGTAGCTCTATCTCTTAATAAATGTTGCCAGCCATCTCGTAAACGATCCACTAGAGTTGCTGCTTTTTGACTTGCTTTACTGGCCCATGGACACCATAACCCGCGAGTGTTAGTGTCCCATCCAGCACGTAAACTGCCATCTTTTACATACCTGTATGTGAAAAAATATACTTCATTTGGATATAAGGAATGGTAAATTTATAAATTTATCACCTCTGATGAAGTTGTGCTACCGCAGGAGCCAATTCGGTCAGAAGCTCCTTACTCTTTAAATCTAGCTCCTTTTTCCAATTTTTTGCTTCCAAATTGTTCTTAATTCCGAACTTCTTGTGAATTTGTCGCACAAGATTTTCATATCTTTCTACTGCTATCGTCGTGTCTTCTACAGCTTTAGTAAAATCTTTGAAATGTTGACATTTTTCTAACAATCTTGTAATTTCTCTCAAAACAAGATCACAGAATGCCTTTATTGCATTCTGTGACAACTTGCTGCATAAAACCAATTTATCGATTCTTCTCTTGCATACATATCCAATTGAACAAGCTACTTTTGCTTGACTAGCGTCATTTTCTACAGATACCAAATTTGCGAATACTGGAAATTTGGGCAACTCTGGGTCCACCGGTAGAGTGACGTTATTATTTTCTTTGGAGAATAACATCAATGGTTTATCCTCGGATGTATCTGGATACCCTTTTCCAGGTGTGGATTCTTCGATGATGCTTGTTAAAAATGCGTCTCCATACAGAAGAATTTGAACATGCGGCAGTATGTCGGTTTGTTCTTGAATGTGTAACTGTAGCGCTGTTAGTTTTTCTTCAGAATGCAGGAAAACTTTGATCAAGCTGCCTTTGTGAACGTTAAATACGTACACACGTTTTCGGGAGAGAGTTTCGGTAACTTCCGTGAAAAATCGATCGAAACTCCATATTTTTTGTGGATCAACCTCTAGTAACCCGGCTAATAAAGGAGTCACAATCTTTTTTAACTCGGCACTTAATTGACAATTTTGTGGCAATTCTCTGCTCCATTCGATCGGCCCATTTTCTGACGTTTGCACACCCGATATAACTCCAGTGGCTTTTTCTGTGGTAATATAAAACATTGTCTCCTTATTCCTACGTCCACCAAATGGTCTAAAGGGTAAATGTCCTGTAGCTACATGATATAACGTTACACCTATCGACCATAGATCTACCGTTGCTCCAAATGTCTTTCCTACAGTTTTGCGTAGGATAGCCCGTTCATATATATCTGGATGCAAGTATTCCTCAGTGCCATACAAAGATACAAACTGCTGGTCTTCTTGCAACTCTCTGGCAGCACCGAAATCAGTGAGCTTATAAATAGTGCTACCATCGTCAGCAATGAATTTCATTATATTACCTATCAGAAATTTCATGATAAAATTATTATACGAAGCAAACAATGCTTAAGTATTATAATCTCAATTATTCAAGATCCTAAAAAGAGGCTTTGATACTTAAAGGAGTTACAGCATTTTCTATTCATTTTTGTAAATTGATTTTATACCGAATTGTTTTTATTCCTCTCTGCTATTGCTATAAATCCTTTAAGTAATTGACCTGTCTTCAACTGTTTACATTATGACTTGTATACCTGGTTTTAAGTCTCTGTGTACTAAATTATTATCACGCAAATGCTTCATTCCAGCCGTTACATGTTCTAGGACCAACAAGAATTCATCTTCTGCGAGTCCAAATGTATTCTCAGGATCATCGAGAATACTAAAAAGACTGCCTCCAGTACAGAGTTCCATAACAATCACAGTCCCACGACCATCTTGCTCTTCTTCAATAGCCAATAACTGAACAATATTTTCATGATTGACCCTCTTAAGGACCTCGAATTCTCGCATTTGCACGTCATGAGGACGCATATGACTCAACTGATTAAACGTTTTAACCGCGACAGGTTCCCCATTGTTTTTATTAACACCTTGGAAAACTGTGCCGGTCGCACCTTTTCCAAGGACACTAGTCGTACACCAGACAAAATGCGCGGAGCCACGTAGGAAAGACATTGTCTAAAATCTGACAGACCATCCAACGTTCGTATTGTTTGGGTATTTAACAAGTAGTCTAACCTCTTTCTTGTCAGATGAATTTTGAAGATTTTGCATCCATGAAACTTTAATCGTATCATTCGTTTAAGAACTAATAACGAAAGGTGATTAATTAATACGCCCTCGATGTTATTGACGTGTAATGAATATTGTTCAGAACACGCGTAGACTTTCGAATGAATCGAAATCAAAGCACATAATCCATTTTCGTCAGCAACGTACCGTTGCCTTCAAGCTCCCGTCCGTTCAAATAATTTCAAAATATTGATTTTAGATTTTGATTTCTCGAATGTAAATGTAAAAACAAAATGTTGAACAACACAGATTAGAACAATAAGAAAATCGATTAATACAAAAATCGAACGATAAGAAAATCTTCGATAAATTTAAACGGGTTACTGTAACGATTACCATTTATGTACATACATGTAACATCAATTTTCTTAGAAATAAACCATGAAATTCTAAAATATATTATATAAACATGTGAAATAAGTAAAACCGCTGTTTCCGAGGGTGTCGCAATCGAGAGTGCACGCTAATTAAAAAATGTCTCGAATTACAACAGTATTGTTGGTGCAATAGCTGTAATCTGTGTAATACATGCGTAGGAGATGAAACGAAGATGAAAAATCGCGATGCGTGCGTTGGCCACATTTTAATCGGTATCGGTCGAACGCCGCAACCCTTCTCCTTATTCAGAGGATTAATAAGAGGGACCGAATGAATATCATGGTTTCAGTCTGCGCGCAGCGTACAGCTACGCGTATCGATCACGTTCTTTTATTGCACAGGAAATTGTGCACTGCGTTTATCAAACTGGTCTGGGACCAGTCGTTGAACAGTTCGTGAAACATGTTCGCGGGCACGGTACTCCGGGAATAAACAGTGTGAACATCTCGAACTGTATACATATATATGATGGAGAAACACGTGTTTTCGGTGCTTGTTTGTTTGGTAGCGTTTTTGCATCCCTCCAAGGAGGCGGTTGATCGGTAAGTGATAGTCAATGAATATCGATCGATCGGATTGCAGAACTTTATGCAGATTCACGTCTTCCAAGCATTTTAAGGAGATTGTAATTTCATTCGATTTCTTTTTTGTAAAGCGACAAATTGGATAAGAAACGAAACGGTATTATTCGATCGTAGGCAACTTGGGTTGCACAATTTTTGAAATATAAGTTTCGCGGGCTTCTTCTCGCTCTTCGTTTTTTTTGTTGTTTTACCTGTGCAAGACAAGTCTGTGATTTGTTCATCTTTTATCAAGATCCATCGATGAGAAATGTATCCGGCAAAATTGATCGGGTTTGCTTTCAGGGGATATGTTTTTACGATGCCGCAAGTATTGTTAGCCGGTGAAGTTGAGCGTGGGTGCCTCTCTCTGCACAATTTGGAGCCACCGGCTGTTATCAAACTTGATTTGTTGTCCCCGAACATGGAATTGATGTCGACCACTTCTTCCATATTTTTATCAGGTAGTTACTTCGAACAAGCTATTAAAGAGCGCTTAAAAAAGGAAACGGTATAAATTCAACGTACCCGTTATTTTTAATAAACGATTTTATAGAAATTTATAATAGACTCGCACGGCAAAAGTTCTATTACAAGATCACAGGTTTCGAGAAGCATTTATTGTAATAGCAGCTGTTTCTTTATCTGAATCCAGACCTCTGACCTCTTGTTACGTATACAGGAGTGTCCTTTACATCTTGTTTTATCAATATCGGACTGATAAGAGTTACCAGGAATAATATGCAGATAGCATTTTATTTGCGGTTCTATTAAACGGGATGCAGCTTCGTGCAGCATCGTTTAAGAGCTTCGAATTAAATTCACGCGAAAAAAGATTGAAATCACTTGTTGTCGCATCAACGAAACTGTAATAATTTCATAATCGTTTCGAACGACGTAATGCAAATATATACAACAATAATAACAGGCTTTCGATAAACGTGGTTCCCCTTTCCGGGGTCGCAACCGCAGCATCGCTCTGTTTTAGAAGCTTCGTTTTTCAAAGTCGCATTTTCCATAATTCGGTTCTTTTTTATTTCTGGCGTCGGTCGGTCCTTTCGTCTCGCGTCGGGCTCTTTAAACAGATCGTAAATTGAAATTGTCGTCGCTTCCTGTGGGGGAACTGAATTGGCCGACTCCCTCTCTGGAGGGGAAATAAGCAATCGCTGGAATACATGGGAAACCTATTTATATTGTTATATACGGGGTGAATAACGAAGATTGGCTATTTAACTCGATCAAGGTCCGACTTCGTTGAATAAATACGTTTGATATATCAATATCTTAGGGACGGTGAAACATGATGCGCAAAATACTTAGAGTGTCCGTAGCAGCTTGAGAACAAAACGATCACAAAATCGGCCCGTCCGCGTGCTCGCACAATCGTTGAAAAATATTCTATTTTCTCGATCTACTTTATTCTGGATTCAGCGGCCCATCCCAGTATCCTAATACCAAAAAAAAAACATTTTATTACTCGAACCATTCTTCTATAAAACGTATCCTATTCGAATAAAACTAAGCTTATTCCCTAATTATTTATTACATAAGCAATCGCTGGAATACATGGGAAACTTATTTATATTGTTATATACGGGGTGAATAACGAAGATTGGCTATTTAACTCGATCAAGGTCCGACTTCGTTGAATAAATACGTTTGATATATCAATATCTTAGGGACGGTGAAACATGATGCTCAAAATACTTAGAGTGTCCCTAGCAGCTTGAGAACAAAACGGTCACAAAATCGGCCCGTCCGCGTGCTCGCACAATCGTTGAAAAATATTCTATTTTCTCGATCTACTTTATTCTGGATTCAGCGGCCCATCCCAGTATCCTAATACCAAAAAAAAAACATTTTATTACTCGAACCATTCTTCTATAAAACGTATCCTATTCGAATAAAACTAAGCTTATTCCCTAATTATTTATTACATAAGCAATCGCTGGAATACATGGGAAACCTATTTATATTGTTATATACGGGGTGAATAACGAAGATTGGCTATTTAACTCGATCAAGGTCCGACTTCGTTGAATAAATACGTTTGATATATCAATATCTTAGGGACGGTGAAACATGATGCTCAAAATACTTAAAGTGTCCCTAGCAGCTTGAGAACAAAACGGTCACAAAATCGGCCCGTCCGCGTGCTCGCACAATCGTTGAAAAATATTCTATTTTCTCGATCTACTTTATTCTGGATTCAGCGGCCCATCCCAGTATCCTAATACCAAAAAAAAAACATTTTATTACTCGAACCATTCTTCTATAAAACGTATCCTATTCGAATAAAACTAAGCTTATTCCCTAATTATTTATTACATAAGCAATCGCTGGAATACATGGGAAACCTATTTATATTGTTATATACGGGGTGAATAACGAAGATTGGCTATTTAACTCGATCAAGGTCCGACTTCGTTGAATAAATACGTTTGATATATCAATATCTTAGGGACGGTGAAACATGATGCTCAAAATACTTAAAGTGTCCCTAGCAGCTTGAGAACAAAACGGTCACAAAATCGGCCCGTCCGCGTGCTCGCACAATCGTTGAAAAATATTCTATTTTCTCGATCTACTTTATTCTGGATTCAGCGGCCCATCCCAGTATCCTAATACCAAAAAAAAAAACATTTTATTACTCGAACCATTCTTCTATAAAACATATCCTATTCGAATAAAACTAAGCTTATTCCCTAATTATTTATTACATAAGCAATCGCTGGAATACATGGGAAACCTATTTATATTGTTATATACGGGGTGAATAACGAAGATTGGCTATTTAATTCGATCAAGGTCCGACTTCGTTGAATAAATACGTTTGATATATCAATATCTTAGGGATGCTGAAACATGATGCTCAAAATACTTAGAGTGTCCCTAGCAGCTTGAGAACAAAACGGTCACAAAATCGGCCCGTCCGCGTGCTCGCACAATCGTTGAAAAATATTCTATTTTCTCGATCTACTTTATTCTGGATTCAGCGGCCCATCCCAGTATCCTAATACCAAAAAAAAAACATTTTATTACTCGAACCATTCTTCTATAAAACGTATCCTATTCGAATAAAACTAAGCCCATTCCCTAATTACTTATTTCGTCATGTTTAATCATACGCCGCGGAAATACCGCAGTCTTACCAGTTTTCAAAAGCTTCGCGAAGCAAAATTGTAACCTTCATAGTGTTCTGATACACACATATAGGTAACTGTAGGCCTAACAATCAGCTAAATCGACGCACGGTTAGATTGTCTTCTTAGTATCAATTTATCAATTAGGGACATCCTTTTACACGAATGCCAGTTGTGTTATGTTTTGTAGCTCGTTGCAATAAGGAAGATCGTCGTACCGGTATCAGATACTAATTAAGTTAGCTATCCTTAGCCGCGTCGTTGTTCGTTTATTCGATTTACATAAATCGCGTGCGCCGATTTTGTCGGATGTTTTAGGTGCGGAAACATGTTTGGAATTAGCGGTACCGTCGACGGAGCACACGACCGCGTACTTACGGTTACAAATACAGATCGATCATTTAAATTACGTGGTCGACACACAAGAAAGCTGTTACATCGAGCACGATTCTTTGCTGACTTTCGTGGAAACGGACAAAGCTGTATATAAACCGGGCCAGGACGTGAACATTAGGATCGTTATGCTTAAGCACAACTTGAAAATTTGGAAGGAATCGGTGGGTGTAAGATCTCTGTTAAAGATCGTCTTTTCTTTTTGCGATTTCATCGAACACCGTTTCTCGTCTTGTTGCACAGATCCCCAAAGTATGGATTGAAAATCCATCGGAGATCAGGGTTGCGCAATGGGCGAACGTGAACACGGAAAACGGCATGGCGCAGTTGCTGTTTCCATTATCGCCGGAACAAAGCTCGGTAAAAGAGTGCGTTCGTTTCTTTTACCGGATCTAACTGAAATAATGAATTCGTTGGTTACGACAGGGAACATGGAAGATCAAAGTGGAAAAGAAAAGATCGCATCCGCAGCTGATCCACACGGCTACATTCGAAGTGACGAAATACGTGCTGCAGAGGTTCCAAGTCACGGTCAAATCGCCAGGGTATATTTTAGCCGACGCGGATAATGTCACTTGGACTATTTGCGCAAAGTAATTATCGCGATTACGCCTGATTATTAATGCTTTAGCTACCGTGTGAACTCTTCGAGATAGGCTTTTACGTTCGTGTTTCATTACGATTCGCGATTCTTAATATTTCGAAGGAGTACAGTAATGTCTCCCTTACCGACGCTCAGGTTGTGTACGGAAATGGACAATTTGGGAGGAGGAGATACGATTATTCGAACCTTGCGACTCGTTCTTATAGTTGTTGACAATGAAAAACGAGCAACAAGGCTCGAACAATCGTATCTCCTCTTCCCAAATTGTCCATTTTTCTGGACAATCTGAGCGTTAATTAGAGATTATACAGTAATATAATACTCTAATAATGTATAATCTCTAATAATATAATATAAATAATATTAAATAATATTACTATTATTATATTATTTATATTATTTATATTAAATAATATTACTATTATTACCATTATTATATTATTTATATTAAATAATATTAAATAATATATATTTATATTACTATTATTATATTACTTATATATAAATAATATAAATAATATTACCTAATACATTACTGTATTAGGCAATTACCGGTAGGTAAAGCGTTAACTTGATCTCGCGTCTCATACTAGTTACTTTTCTAATGAAAAATTGAAAACAAAAAAATCAACTGAAGCCGAACATTGTCCTACAGATACAGTTACGGTAAACCTGTTAAAGGTACATTGCGATTGAAATCAATCTCTCAATTGCCAAATTGGAGGGGGAAAGTCAATCTGTTGGGAACAGATTACGAGACCAAGGTGAAAAATTCCCTGTTTGCGTCGTGCTACGAGCTCGCCGTTACGTAAGGAACGTCCGAAGAAATTTAGTCTTAACGAGCGTATGTTTTAGGTGGTTTCGCCCGATGGATGCACCGATTTCGTAGTGTCCGGGTCAGATCTCGGTCTAGATTGTTGGCAGGTGGCTCCCGACAGTATCGTACTGATCGCGAATTTCACGGAAGCTGGGACCGGCGTAGTCGAATCAACCATTAGTCAGACAATGGTCGTGAATCAGGCCTTGAAGCTGGAATTCCTGCCGCACACGCCAAAGTACTTTAAACAGGGCTTGCCTTATCATGGAAAGGTATTCTCCTTGCAATATATTTTACCTTGATTGTATTTGCAAACGAAAGAAAAAACAACCATAGAAATAAGTAAAATAATTTAAATAATGGAAGCTTAAGAAATTGATCAAGTGGCTGAAGTATCCACCTTAATCCACTTGCGTTTTCTTATTAGCTACGAGTTCTACGACAAGATAATACTCCGGCACCGAACGAGAAGATACAACTTTGCTTACAAGTTCTAGAAAAAGGGGAGTTACGAGGGGAAATGGTGGAATGTCGTAATTTCAGATCAGCTGCCGACGGTTTCATCGACTTTGTCGTTCCTCCGCGCCAGAAAAATATTGTTGAATTGAAATTTATTGCCACTGGTGTCGACTATCCGACGAAATACTACTCGCCGGATAAACGGTGGTGGGTGAGTATAAATTAATCCTGCCGCGGACTTCGGTCGATCTGCGATAAATTCTCTCTAATTGATCATCAGCTTTTAAACAAACAAAAAAAATGGACGATTTAGGAAGAAGAGATACGATCATCGTCCATTTTTCTTTACGAGACGAGGGTCAACTAGAGAGAATTTACGATATACATTTCGTACGAATGTTTCTTGTGTTAACGCTATGCCGTCCGGTGGCACCACGCTGGTGCCATGCAAAAACTATCTCTTGTATGCCGGTGGTAGCACTTTGGTGTCATTTGAAAAAACTGAAATAACATTTGAACTATATTTCTTGGGTGTTAAAAGGCAGCTAACTAACTACAGCATTGTGCTTGTTTAACTAAGAATCAAGTACGAAAATTCTTGGATGGCTTATCTTAATTTTAGGAATTTATATTACCGCCATCTTCAATTTGAACTATATTTCTTGGGTGTTAAAAGGCAGCAAACTAACTACAGCATTGTGCTTGTTTAACTAAGAATCAAGTACGAAAATTCTTGGATGGCTTATCTTAATTTTAGGAATTTATATTACCGCCATCTTCAATTTGAACTATATCTCTTGGGTGTTAAAAGACAGCAAACTAACTACAGCATTGTGCTTGTTTAACCAAGAATCAAGTACGAAAATTCTTGGATGACTTATCTTAATTTTTGTTAAAATCTAACATTTCCAAGCTATTATGCCGACGTCAAGCAAAAGAATCATATCTAAGATCTGCGGACGGCATACTGTTAATAATATTCGTACATTCCTCTCAAATACGTAATCATTAGATTGCGAATCAAAACACGTACAAACCATTTTCGTCAATTATATAAAACACAGATTAAATGAAAACTGTATAATCATGTTAACGCAGCGATTCTAATGCAACACAGTATTATCAAATTTTTGTTGTGTCTTCGCTGGTCCGCTGTCTCGTTCATCAAATGTTTCCTGTATAAACGCATAAAATCCGCAGTCTAATAATCGCATTTCACGAAACTGTGTCTCAGAGAACACGGGGCAGTACATGGGGCAATTGTCTGTTAGGTGTTCATGGATCAACCATTCGCGCGAATCGTCGTACCCGATTGGTATTCGCCATCCGACAGCTACTTGGGGATAGCGCGAGGAAATCAGCCTATCGTTTGCGGCGAGAAATATTCGTTCAACGTGATGTACACCATTCCGGTTAACAGTCATATCAACGAATCGATCTCGTTTCATTGCTCGATCAATTCGAAGGGAGGCCTCTTGATACACGGCCACGTGAAACACAAGCCCACCAAAGATACCACGTTAAATTATTCGGAGTTCCGTAATCTACTGGGCGCCGATAACACCTCGGCGAACAAAACGGAGCAGAGCACGGTCGTGCATAGGTATATCCGAGTCTCTCTGACTTGCCGATACGATACGAATCGTTTCGACCATTGTAAATTCGTTCATCGAATTTTGATTTAATTCGCTGTTCTCGCGAACAGATTCCCGCTGAGCGTGAAAGTTACGCCGGGCATGGCTCCGGTCTCAGAATTATTGCTCTATTATGTGCGAGCCGACGGAGAAGTTGTCGCGGCCACATACACGATCGAGGTTGGCCACTGTTTCGAAAACAAGGTGAAGAGTGCCTGGCACACGGGTGTCCAGGTGCCGGGTGCCACGACACAGTACCACGTGGAGGCTGCGCCCTGGTCGTTCTGCAGCATTTCCGCCGTCGACAAATCGACTCGTTTTATGGCTGGCCCGAAGAAGAATCTGATCGAGACCGGCCAAACGTTCGAAGAGCTGAAACAGTTTCATTCGATGTCGACTCGTTTGCTGCCACGCCGGCAATATTGTAAACGTACGTTTTTAGCGGACAACTAATCTCCATAGATTCGAACCCTGAACGCAGACATTATGCTACAGCGAATGTTACAGCAACAATGACGACGCAAGTCGATTCATCGATGGAAGAAATCGATCATCTGCCCAGCCCTGCGATCAAATTGGCTGAGTCGAGGTTCGAAGCGATGCGATGGAAACACTTGACGACCACCCCCATAGACATGTACTACTTGGATGCCATGCAGGCTTTCATTGTAAGACATTTTAGTACACCCTATACAGGGTGTGTCCCATGTTCAAACTTTGTTAGTGTATTCTATGGCACGAAGTAAGAAAAAAATGTTACGTAAACATAGGTCGTATAGAGCTTTATTAAGAAGTTATAACAAAAGTTCGGAATAGAGGAATAGTAATCAACTTGCTGTTACTGCGAGCATTGGCTTGAATAGATCAGCGCATGCCGTGTGTTTATGTAAGCTGTGTTTATTAATACATTTCGAAATGTATTAATAAACACAGCTTACATAAACACACGGCATGCGCTGATCTATTCAAGCCAATGCTCGCAGTAACAGCAAGTTGATTACTATTCCTCTATTCCGAACTTTTGTTATAACTTCTTAATAAAGCTCTATACGACCTATGTTTACGTAACATTTTTTTCTTACTTCGTGCCATAGAATACACTAACAAAGTTTGAACATTAAAACCTGGGACACCCTGTATACGGACACATTAATCGTAGGTTTTTCAAATGAACTCGAATTATCGAATGGCGAAAGTTCATCGAAATGTTCAAAGATTCACGTCGATACGGATCGAAATAATTATCAGCCCTTTCAATAGAATCACGGCGAGTTTCGATTAGTTTACTTAACGTGTACAATTTTCTTTTCATTTCCATAGGATTTTGGGGTGGTTACTATGAGCGATTTAGTATTAACGTCGCGACCGTGCGTATACCACGAGACGTACGCAGACTTTCGAATGCACATGAATACCGCAGAATTAGGTAAAAATATACATGATATTATTTTCCTGCTAGATCGTTCGTTGTGTCTTCCGAGTTTGGAAAGAAATTCTTCGCACATGCTTCTCTGTTTTCAGACATAGTCAAAATAATGCAACCGACCGCTGTTCCTTTGATAAACTACAGAACCCTCGATGCAGCGGGTACCGTTGAAGTAGATTACGTCGACCACTTGGTTGATCGGACTGCCACATTGAGGTCGTATTTTCCTGAAACATGGCTGTGGGAACTTGTGCCTGCCGGGTATTGTTTATCACGTTTTAACCTTTTAGTCACGACGCGCCACTATAGTGGCTTCCGCGGATGTCATATTTCAGAACGACGCGCCATTATAGTGGCTTCCGCGGATGTCATCTTTCAGAACGACGCGCCACTATAGTGGCTTTCGCGGATGTCATCTTTCAGAACGACGCGCCATTATAGTGGCTTCCGCGGATGTCATCTCTCTGAACGACGCGCAACTATAGTGGCTTCCGCGGATGTCATCTTTCAGAACGACGCGCCACTATAGTGGCTTCCGCGGATGTCATCTCTCTGAACGACGCGCAACTATAGTGGCTTCCGCGGATGTCATCTTTCAGAACGACGCGCCACTATAGTGGCTTCCGCGGATGTCATCTCTCTGAACGACGCGCAACTATAGTGGCTTCCGCGGATGTCATCTTTCAGAACGACGCGCCACTATAGTGGCTTCCGCGGATGTCATCTCTCTGAACGACGCGCAACTATAGTGGCTTCCGCGGATGTCATCTTTCAGAACGACGCGCCACTATAGTGGCTTCCGCGGATGTCATCTCTCTGAACGACGCGCAACTATAGTGGCTTCCGCGGATGTCATCTTTCAGAACGACGCGCCACTATAGTGGCTTCCGCGGATGTCATCTCTCTGAACGACGCGCAACTATAGTGGCTTCCGCGGATGTCATCTTTCAGAACGACGCGCCACTATAGTGGCTTCCGCGGATGTCATCTCTCTGAACGACGCGCAACTATAGTGGCTTCCGCGGATGTCATCTTTCAGAACGACGCGCCACTATAGTGGCTTCCGCGGATGTCATCTCTCTGAACGACGCGCAACTATAGTGGCTTCCGCGGATGTCATCTTTCAGAACGACGCGCCACTATAGTGGCTTCCGCGGATGTCATCTCTCTGAACGACGCGCAACTATAGTGGCTTACTCTAGTAGCTCACTCGCTCATCGTTTGAATCAAATAATCGTCTTTATATGCATTGTTTCACACTTCTTTTGTCTTCGCAGCGATTTACAACAGTCTACAGGGTGTTCCAAAAATGTCTCGCAATCTGGAAATGGCGGGTTCCTCGGATCATTTGAAGCAACTTCTTCCTTTACACAAATTTTCTCCGAGGCACCGTTAACGAGTTATTAACGAAAAACAGTGACGCGAGGCGGCCCAGCCAACCACCACGCGAAGCCCAGTTCCGCTCATTGGCTCGATCGTCTCGCGCCAGCTGAGCTCGCCTCTCATTGGTCACTGTTTTTCGTTAATAACTCGTTAACGGTGCCTCGGAGAACATTTTTGTAAAGGGAAAAGTTGCTTCAAATGGCCTGAGGAACCCGCTACTTTCGGATTGCGAGACATTTTTGGGACACCCTGTATATACAGACAGAATATACAGTATCAGACTTTGTACAGTACATATCAGACTCTGCCGTCCAGAGAAATAGCATCGCGCAGAATTCAGCCGTACCTAAAAGTTTAAGTTATCGTCTTTTTAAATATCGATCCAAACAACATCACCCGATCGCATTCGTCGCTTTCGTAGGAAGGAAGGCAAGGTCACGATAGAACGCACTCTTCCGCACACCATCACCGATTGGATCGGTTACACAACGTGCATCTCGCCCATACACGGCCTCGGGATAGCACCACCGACCACCATAACGGCGTTCCAACCGTTCTTCCTCGACTACACCCTGCCGTACAGCGTGAAACGCGGGGAGATGTTGCACATGAAGGTGTCGCTCTTCAATTACATGCAACATCGGCTACCAGTATGTTCTCGATCAAGCCGAATCGATTCGATGTTGAACTTATTTTACGAAAATAATCGTCGAACGTATAAAAACACGTAAAATTGCATAGGTCAGAATTAAATTGGAAGAGGCGACAGGACTCGACCTACATTTATCGCATCCTACCGCTTCGTTTTGCGTGAACCCGCGGGACAGCGTTGTCCACGAGTACATTCTCAGGCCTCGTGTTATAGGAGAAGTTAATATCACAGTGTCCGCATCGGTGGATCCCGATTTCGAAGAACCATGCGGACCGGAAACCTTGGTCTATACACGGTAACTGTTCTCATCGCTTTAGCTACCGGAAGCCTATTCGTACGATTGTTTAATGACTGTACTATGACCGAAAGAAACTGAGACAGTATCCTTAAAAAAAAATAGTCTTCAAAAAGATTATAACTTGTTGGTTTAGGTTAACAATTAATGAAAAACAGATGGGTACAACTATAACAGTAATATAATAATAATGATAATAGTAACAGTAATAATAAAATAAATAATAGCGGATGCTTATGCAGAATAAAAATTGTCTACATCTGTGGTAAGAAGCAAAAGTCACTTAGGAATTGTCTTACTTCTTCCAATGGTTATAGTATATGCTCAATTTTGTAATAAATCCATAAAATCCGTAGGCTAATAATGATAACAGTGTCTCCGTAATATCCTATTGTTTTTATCTTTAAGAGACGCCATTATGAAGCCAATTCTCGTACTGCCGGAGGGTTACCCTGTGGAAGAGACAAAGTCAACGTTCATTTGCCCGAAGGAGTTCAGTGACGATTCCATGATCGTATGGGATTTAATATTACCGAAGGACGTTGTGCCGAACAGTGGTAGGGCGTACGTGAGTTTGATAGGGGACATTTTGGGACCGGCTCTCGAAAATTTGGACAAGCTCGTGCAGCTGCCGATGGGCTGCGGCGAACAGAACATGGTACTCTTCGTCCCAAATATTCATGTGATCAAATATCTGAAAGCCATCGGCATCGAGAACTCGGCGCTCCGAGCGAGAGCTATTAAGAACATGGAGAAAGGTAAATACTCGATGTTACGAAGCTCTTGTTGCTCGTGAAATTTAGCTATCGTTAACTGCAAATCTTGAACGTATGACAAAGGATACCAGCGAGAGTTGAACTATAGACATCCGGATGGCTCGTATTCCGCGTTCGGCGCGCAAACCTCGGGAGACGAAGGATCCATATGGTTGACCGCGTTCGTTTTGAAATCGTTCGCTCAAGCTCGGGACCTGATTCACATCGACGAGCAGGACCTGTCGTTATCTGCTCGATGGATCCTCATGAAGCAGCTGGAGAACGGTTGTTTCCCCGTGGTGGGCAGAGTCTTCCACAAACAGATGAAGGTGCGACCGTTACGAAACTTCGAATTATCAACGAGAAATCGAACTAACGCGTGCTTCTCTATCGTAGGGTGGCCTCGAGGATGACAGTTCGTCGACAGCGTTGACCGCCTACATTCTAATTTCTTTCATCGAATCTGGATTATTCTCCCAATGGACGTCCCCCCATAAGGCCGTGGATTGTATTAGGTTGGGCTTGCAGAAACACAACGAGAATTTATATACGTTCGCTCTCGCCACATACGCTTTCACCCTGATGGGACCTACGCCAGAAATTTACTGGATGGTGTCGTTGCTGATGAATCGTGCCACGCGACACAATGTACGAACAGATACATTGTACATCACAGTTTCCCTTCGAGAGCAGTTTATTCTTAACCCTCGGATGGCTGAAATTCGGTTTATTTTCACCCAGGGTTACAAGTTAAAGAAAAGTAATATCGTCAAAAGTGTCCGCCTTGCGAGGGTTAAAAAAGGACTGCGAACCAGAACAGATTGAGAAATCATTTTGTACACGGTGCTCCACGATTGGTAGCTATATTGTTGAGTAGACAAAAGTTCTGTAATGTTAAATATAACTCGTATTTTGTAGGACCTGCTTTGGTGGGAGGACAAATCGAAACCTTCCCTAAGCCTGAGCATCGAGATAACGGCGTACGCCGTGCTCACGTTGATCAAATTAGGCGGAGAAGTGAACATGGTGCATGCTTTAAAGGCTATTCGTTGGATGTCGAAGCAGCGAAACGCCGAGGGTGGATTCTCGTCCACGCAAGACACTATTCTCGCCCTGGAGGCTCTGACGAAATTTCCCGCGGCGATGAACAACAACAACACCGATCTCTCGGTTCTGGTGACAGCGTCGGAAGTGGACCACGTCTACAAAATGCACAACGACAATCGCATGGTCCTCACGCAAATCCAACTACCCATCTTGCCGACCATCGTCGAAATCTTTGCGGAGGGCGAGGGCTGCGTGTTGGTACAGGTCAGAGGACGCATTCGATCGCTTCCACCTTCAACAAGCATTTTCACAGACAAGGTATTAACTTCGTTTTTTGTTCGATTGCTTTCGAATCTAGAGCAACATCAAGTACAACGTTGCGCACGCCACCGGTTCCGACGCGTTCGATCTCTCGGTAATGGCTCATTCTGGAGCCCTCGAGAACGAATGTTCGGTACAGAAGATTACAATCTGCGCCCGTTACAAAATAGCGGATAGAGAAAGTAACATGGCTGTGGCCGAAGTTGGAATGATCAGCGGCTACGCACCGGACCGAACGAGCTTGTACTCGTTACTGGGGAAACCATCGACGAGTAAGTCTCGTTCAGCTTACAGAATCCATCGCTCAATTATTTCGCGGAGTAGTTCGAACAATCGAATGATCTCGACATTAAAACCCTAATCGTAGAAGTGAAGCGTTTCGAGGAAGACCGCGACGTCGTTTCTATTTACTTCGACAAGCTGACTGACCAGGAGACTTGCATCTCGTTCATGGTGATGAGGGAGACCGTGGTCGACTCTCTGGAGCCAGCGAACGTGAAACTTTACGACTACTATCAGCCGGAACTGACGGTGTCCAACGTAAGTTCCATCGGGAAACGTATCGAAACGATATTGTTCCATGAAACTGATCGAAAATATATTTTCAGAGTTACAATTTCGCTCCAACTTGTAGCAGCGCGGATCCCGTCGAAAAAATCGACAATTTCACCGTTGTACAATTGTTCGCGAAGAATTTAGACGATATGCTGCTTCTGACAGAGGAGAATTTCAAAGACAAACCGGTGGAAAAGTCGGCGAAAAACTTGGCTACGGAGGATGCGAACAACAGAAATAAGATGATCAATAGGATCAGCGAGGCTGACAGAAAGTCTACGTCTTCAAGGGGGTCAAATTTATTGAACATTCTTCACGACGATGTTGTAAACAGAGAAGAAACGCTCAGGGATAATATCGACCAAGAATCAATCGCTGGAGTGCGACCCATGACCGACAATGTGCCGTTCGTGGAGAAATCGGATCCAAAAATTGGGGAAGACACTGTAGACATTGCAACGCGTGTACGAACAACCAGCGATAATACGATCTTCAATCCCTCAAACAGTGAGTAGAAAACAAAATGAATATTAACACTAAACTTACCAGGCAGTAATACTAACTGGCATGTACTGCTTCACAAAAGTGAGGAGACCGAATTTATTTAGAATTTGTAAAGTTTTTATCATAAAACTTGNTCGGATCCAAAAATTGGGGAAGACACTGTAGACATTGCAACGCGTGTACGAACAACCAGCGATAATACGATCTTCAATCCCTCAAACAGTGAGTAGAAAACAAAATGAATATTAACACTAAACTTACCAGGCAGTAATACTAACTGGCATGTACTGCTTCACAAAAGTGAGAGAAGACCGAATTTATTTGGAATTTGTAAAGTTAATAATATATCCAATATATCCATATTATATATATGGATATATTATTAACTTTACAATATATATATATATATATATATATATATATATATATATATATATATATATATATATATTATATATTATATTATAATATATATTAATAATATATATAATAATATATTAATAATATATTATAATATATCCAATAATATAACTTATTCAAGCGTTTTCCACGAAATAGTCTCGGAACTTTGAAGAATTGAAAAATAAGAAAGCGGTCACTTTGACCGCGGTAGTTTTAGTGTTAAGACTATCCTACATCTAAATGTGACAAAGTTCTGTTAGTTCTACAGGTAGAATCTGGCAGTGGTTTAACCCCGGACGAGCCAGACAGGAGTCGCACTTTTAGTTTCGACAACGTTGATCTTAATACAGGAATGTTGAGCAACATAGAAAATCCGTCTACGGTTCCCGTGAAAGAAACCGAGGACTTCGAGGTACCAGGAAATCCATCTTTCGTTGTTGTCAGCCACGAATTAGAAACTCCGGAGGGTGTAGAGGGACCGATTCCGGTTTACACGAAATCAGATGCAGTCGATTACAAACCAGAAACTACTAGCAGTAAAAATAGTTTGTTCCATCCCTCGCTAACACCTCCGGCAGAGAGCGACGATATCTCACAGGTACATCAATAGGTTATCAAAAGAATTTACAATTTCTGCGACTATGAGCGTCCAACATTGTTTGCTTTGTAGGAGGAACTCGACCACCAGACAATCTACACAACAAACAGCGACATGCAGGTCACATGTACGCGAATATGTTTTACATTTAGTGATCATTAGATTGCAGATTTTTGTGCATATTTTAGGATAAAAGGGAAAAATAATTCTGTCAACTAGACAATTCCTCATGATGTAAAACAAAGTAAAGGAAAAATGCATAAAAATCTACAGCCTAATGATTATTACTGTTCAACTATGGTATGTTGTTCAACGTTGGTATTCCTTGCATTATATTTTTATTTAGCATTGACTAGAACGAATCAAGCTTGTCCAACGTGTATCGACAAGCTGCCATCAAACATCAGCGATATTTATTGCTCAGCGAATGCCGTGGTTAAAGTAGCGATCAGGCGTTTGCGCAAAGCCCGGTTGTTGATAGATCTAAATGCATCCAGAGAAGTGCAACGTCTTCGTGCCACTATCAAGTTCACTTTGGATCCGAGTTGCTCCTGTTCTCTGATAGATTCCCGTACGTAGTTCAAGTCTTCTCTCTATGTCTTCCTATTACGGTAGGAGAGGTTCCTGGGAACTTCGCAGCATACCATTATCTTAAGGCATACAACTGTTGCTACCAACACAACGTAATATAATACAATACAATATTATATTAATATAATATAATATTGTATTAATATAATATAATATTGTATTAATATAATATTATATTAATATAATATAATATTATATATTAACCACTTGACATACAATGATGTCTGGGAGACGTCATTTACTTCATGTGCCATTGTAGACTTTGACGTCTCCAAGAACTGTATTCGGCGAACGCCGTGCATTTCATTATTAGATTCTTTAATTGTTTCGGTCGTGCATTGATGCTGTTTTGTTTAGACTGTTGGAGATGCTTTCCCCCTCCTAACAGTACCGATAAACAAAATTGCATCGACAAATAAAACCGACCTGTGTTCTGGAGTATAATCGTGGAATGGGAGGTGTAGACAAGCAGGACCAATCTCTTGCATGTTTCCCCCTCATGAGAAAAAGTGCAAAAGGATATAAAAAAATATTTTTTTATATGTTTGATGTAGCTATTTATAATGCTTATGTTTTATATTCCAAATTGCCTACTTCACAAAAGCAATCGATTGTGAATTTTCGATTGAATATTGCAGAAGACATGCTTTGTAATTTGTCCCTGCCGGACTATCCGACACGCGGCAGACGGTCGCAAAGTGAATGCCCAACTCGGTTACAAGCAAAATATTGGACACATTTTCCTGAACATATACCCGCGACAAATAAAAAGCAACATCCTGCAAAAAGATGCCATGTTTGCGTAAAACATAATATAAGAAGTGAAACAACTTGGCAGTGTAAAATATGCCTCGTTCCGCTACATATTACTAAATGCTTTGAGATGTATCACACATTACAAAATTATTAAATTATTATTTTATACTATTACTTAATTGTTGTACACTAACACTATACTTCAACCCTATTGAATGTTATATAGCAATGTAACTTTAAAAAGAAAAGGCCCTGTTTCTGAGCTTGTACATGAGTGTCCAGTTGAGCCAAATTAAATAGTATTCTTCGGACGCGTCGATGCACATTTTATTCGTATGTCAAGTGGTTAATATTATAATTTTTTAATAATATGTTAATATAATATAATATTGTATTAATATAATACAATACAATATTCTTTCTAAATAAAATATACTCTTGCAGCTGGAACTTTCGCGTTAATCATAAACAAGGAGAACGACTTTGTTGAATCGCATCATTCTTCCGGGGATCACCGACAGACACTGGATAGTACGTTTAATATTTACGGGTTGCCAATAGTAACCGGCGTGCCCCCAGAAATCGCGGAGGCACGAAGATCGTCGTGTTCAAATTCGGAAGAGAATCAACCGGCCGGTGATTGAACGGGACGCATACTTTTTATTTAGACATGTGACATAATTAGATTGCGGATTTGTATGCGAATTCCCCTTTTCATAGGCTGTTTTACAATAATCAGAATAAGGGGAGAAGTTGTTGTGCGAAGTAGAAAATTTATTTTGATAAAAACGCAATAAAAATCACACATAGTAAGTTTTGTTAATATATTAATATATAAAAATCCGCAGTCTAGACATAACACTGAACACTAGAGCTAGATTGTAGACCTCGCTCATTTGTAAATCTCGATCATGAAGATACGCTACTTGCAAACATCGCGCAGATTATATACATAATATCTCTGTGTCCTTTTTTTCTTATCTGCAAACATGTAAATTATATACGATAATATTAATGACAGGATAAGATATCGCGAATGGAAATATAAAAAAGATCAGTTATCATCCTCGTTGCAAATGAATTGTTACATCGGAGATGATTCATTTTATTTTTTATCAAGTCAATAAAAATTGTAAGTAAATTATATAAACTCTTTCGATGTAATCTATCAGCTCATCTTTTCTTTTAGAGCTTATATCTGGCTCTGTGTCCGTGTGTGTGTGTGTGAGAGAGAGAGAGGGGGGGGAGAGATAGAGTTAAAAGAAGGAGAAACTGTAAGAATGAATCCACAAGAAAGCGAATATAACATCTTTTTGTTGCACTTTTTATTTATTATCTTTGTATCTGATCGCTACTGAAATAATTATTACAAATTAACAATCACCCTTCGAACTGTACTACATTAAATATTATTTTATTACAATGAATTTATGGTTATTTATTTATTTATTTATTACGGCTTTCAATTTTTCTGTTCGTTACCTATTGTTTATGCTAAGTGTTTGTCATTTAATGCTGATCTGAATTCATAGTATATTCTGTAACTACGGAGCAATATTGATAACATTCGAGAATAACATTTTTTTTCATTAATCTTTGCTATCTACCATGAACATTAATGTGTATGTGTGTTTGTATATGTGTGCGAGCGCATGTTTATTATGTGTATTTATTTATTTATTTATTTATTTATTTATTTATTTATTTATTTATATTTTTCTTTCAGCATTAAATATCAAATCGCAATCGTTTCTGGATGTGTATTACTATTTTACGTTGTACACGGTGAAATGCTTGATTGAAATAAATAAAGACTATTTATTGTTCGCTAGAGACTACTCGGCACGACGCTCCGTTAAACGCAAAACCTAATCGCGCGTCATTCAGGAATGAGAAAGGAACACATTAAACATTTATAAAGAGTTGGCAGTAACATTTTCATCAGTCCAGTCGGCGTCGCACGAGATTTCGATAATAAATCGTTCTAACAGGTATCTTGAAGGTGCAATACATCTTCCGCACGAATAAATAATATTTCTATGCATAGAGATACTGGAATTCCATCGCGATCAATTCACTTAAAACAGAAAACACTTAATAATACTTTGTTACAATAGGATCATAATTTTCGCATAACTTTGTTAATATTCGCCGTTCCCCAAACACACACCTACGAATTTTTATTTTATCATTTACCCGATATTTGGAACAGCGTCGCCCAGGCAGAACATACAAAGTACTGTGACAAATATCATTTGCCTAATATAGCGGCAACAGTAATCAGTCGTTGGCAGTAAATGCGTTCAATAAATGCATCTCGTTTCAAAGTATTGTAACTGTAGATTCGATATTTCCTACTAACTACTATAAAATAGTATCATATATACACATTATACGAATATTCAAAAAAAGGCAGCGATACAAAAGTTTTGATATGTGTTCCAAATATATTTTCCCTAATAAATACTTTAGATGCGTATTAAAATCTATAGCGTTAATAAGAATAGATATTTTTTTGTTGGATTTAGAAACAAACATCATTGCATATAAAAATTGCTTAGCAGTTATTGTAGAGGAAAAGGAATACTGATCAAATGATAATACTGTAATGTTGTACAATATTACACCAGTGTATAGGCATTGAAAAGAATTTACTTCTATGGAAAAATGCGACTGATACAAAAATTAATTCTAAAGTTACGTTCCACCTGGGCTGTAATAATATATCGTTTATGTTTAATTAATTCTGTCGTATCAATAATGATAATGTCATGGTTTGCTGAAACGCTATTAGAAACTGTTTCACAGGGAATACATGAAAGACACAGACGTCTCGAAACAAAGAGAAATGCGATTGTGCGCTTACCATACGAAAATGAAAGACAGGTAATGCAGGAAACAAATTGGTATAACTATATGCAAGATAAAGATATATGTTTAAGACACCAGCTCTATATTAAATTATACGCGAATTTTGTGTTTTCAATTTCGTTTTTTTCCTTTGCGATTATTAAAATATAACGTATTAAATCATTACAATGGTATTAAATCAGTCGGGCTCACCTTAACACGGGCAAGCAACGGGCATTAGTATAATTATACATCCACTCGAACCAAGTAGAGTTGAAATAATATATATATTAATACGTGCTACTTTAATACACTTTATAAATATACATATATTACTTGAATCTCTTATTAATTATCAAATACTACAATGTAATTAGATCAGACTCTAAGTTGAATAATTAAAATCGTTTCATTCTCGCTTCGATTTCATTTATATATTATGATACGCACTAAAGTATTGTATATCAAGGATGGATTTAATATAGAGCCTGCCTCTTCTACGCAATTTTCAATAAAATTAATAATGATGGAATAAAGAATTCACGTAGAAACAATTCACTTTGCTCTTTTACTTTCGATGTTGATGCGCTCAAGTGCAAAGTCGAATTATCAAATGTACATTCGTGAATGTACATATACAAACGATCAACACGTGACAAACGCCGATTTGCTTAACAACACAGATACGTTTATCGTATCTGGTGGTCAACGATTGTTGCAGCTATCGTAAATGCAAATGAAATGCATCAGAGATGATAGAGGAACTTACGTAAACATCAGTAGTACAGTATTCAATAGATTTTAGGTGCCGAACGATCATTAATGAGACCGCTGGTTTTCCTCAAAGAGGTCCCCCTTCGTATCTGATCCATCAATGAGTCCCTAACTTGCAATGGATCCATGATAGGTACGCGATTACCCATAATACGTCTTACACTTGCCGATTTACTCGATATATTCCCCTGTATGTTCTGTTGCTGCTGCGCCAGCTTAGCGTTCAAAGTCTCGAGAAAGCCGCTCGACGATTTCGTAGTTTTCGTTATCTGCTGCTCAATAGAGTGCTTCCTCGAAGACTTAGGACTGTTACTAGTATTGTTACTACCTGCAGTATTGTTACCTGTCGTACTGTTGATAAGCTTGGCACTGAGCACTGCCATGAAGCTTTGACCTACTCCTCCTGGCCCTTGTCCTTGAATATTTACACCTGCGTTGATCGTAGTCATTTGTGTAGCAGTCGAGCCACGTTCTTGAGAAGTCGAGCGAATCGCTGCACACGAACGTTCAACAGAAGATCGAGTAACTTGTAACACAGCATTATGTTGTAACGTGCTGGATTGATTGTTATGCGATTGTGTCTGACCTGTAGCCTTCCGTAGAAGGGAGGGACTAGCAGGAGTGTGACGCAACTCTGTAAGGGTCCTTACGGTTTCTGACACTGAGACCGACCTGCAATATTCAATACACATTGCATGAAATTGTTGCATCAAATCCATATTGCTATAAAAGACTATCTCCTACCGCTGAGGAGTAGGGCTGGCTGTGGGTGAAGAACCCTCCAACAAGAACGCCGGCGGTGGTGGAAGATTTTCAGCCTCGTCGCAAGGATTATCAGTACGTTCGTCGTTGGAACCCGTTACAGGAGTACTAAACGTGGCAGTTATGATAGTGGACGTACGTCTCGTAGGAGGAGGAGGTTTACTTGCTTGCTGCACCGATCCTCTGCGAACCGTTAAAGTAGAGGCAGCACCAGGTACGTTCCAAGCATTCTCATTTTGATTCTGAAGTGAATGAGAATGCGGTATAGTAGTCTGACTACCATAGCCACTACTAGATTCCGCACTAGATTCTGACGTTTGACTTCCACCATCTTTTTCCGTAACTTCAGTCTGAATATATTGATCGATATAAATAATAGATTATAACTATGATACCCAAGATTTTCGAAATCGTACCTTCTCTGTTCCAGATGCAGTTAGCGACGCAGGAGGTGGAGGCAGAGGCAGTTGCATCTCTTGAGCACGAGTTGCTGCTAGATTTGCTAATTCGTGCATGTTCACGTACATTGGTTGTTGAAGCTGATGAGTTACTAATTCTGCAATGTATCTCATACTTATACAGGGTTACAACTTAAATAACATATTTGGCTAAGTCATAAATAGCTTCCGCTGCAGGCGTTGCAATAATCGTGAAAATGGTTGAATAGAGTAGAATTTGAATTTGGGAAATGGAAACAGAAATTATTTTTAGTTCAAACTAATGATTAAGTAAAAAAATGTTAAATACCTTTTGCTAAATGAGCTGGAAGCGGTAATTTAGGTTTGCCCCGGGGACTTCCGGGAGGCTCATTCTTTACTGGAACTGTTGGCCGCTCTAAACTAGAACATCTGTTTGGTATAGGAGGACGATTACTACCATTATTTCTACGCAATTGTACTCTAGATGCTTGTTGATTCGAGGAAGAACATGAAGAGGAAGAAGAAACTGGAGAAGCTGGTTGACTATGGCAACAGCCACTATTGTCTGGAGCTTGGAATGTATAAACGCTGAGAGCTGGTCTCTGATGTCCTTTTTCATAAGCTGTAGCAACGAATAACATTATTTAGTAAATTATTCGGTTTATAAAAAAGAAACAAAAATTTTAGGAACATATTTTCTTACCGGAAGAAATTGTATGCGGCCGTTCATTAACCGAGTTCTGATTTTGTCTGTCGAACTGAACTGATGTTTCCTGCAAGTCAGGCCAAGTAGCAGTGGTTACAGGTCTTGATGTTGTACAACCAGTATTTTGATTATTTTGAGAAGACACATTTGATACCTACAACAACACAGTTAACTTCAGCAACGAAACAAAAATCTTTACTCATTGAAAAAATATAGAGAGAACTTTATTTAGTGTCGAAAGTGAAGAGAAGGAAATCGTGAAACGCTAACAGGCTTCTAATTTCTAGCAACCTTACCTGATGCTCGGAAATTGGTTGTGTATATAATGTATCCTGTGAAGTGAAGCCAGAGTCACGGGAACTACCGTTTGCCAAGTGGCGCAGCGTCATCATACCACTGATGCTGGAGGGCCTGACACCGACAGACTACAACGAGTACAACATCGACTACCACATACAAGAAGCTGATGCCGAATGGCGCTCATGCTATAATCTACCAGCAACTACTTACATGATATATTATATATGTATATAGGTAGTGCATAAACAGTGAAACTAATATGCCATGCATTGTAAGGGTTAACATTCCTAGTTCAATGAATTAGCATGGAGAAAGAGAACATAGTATTGTTTTCGTATGTTTCGAAAATGTTCACCTGAGAGAGCGATCTATGCCAAGGATGTCCAGATGGGCTCGGATGACTTTTACAAGAACCGCTGCTACTGCTAGTCAGAGAACTGATTGAACACATTGAACTTTTTCTTGATCCAAGAGACAAAGAAGGACTGGAAGGAGGCGTAGCTAGCGACCATTGTGCAACGTCGCAACCTTTTATATCTGTTATCACTTGTTCCGATGCAGGTGGTAGATGATGCGGAGAGGCAGCATGTCGTTGCAACTGATCGGAGACTTCTTGAAGATGTGTCAGTTCCATTAGCATAGCAATTTCCTCGTCCTACGCATTTTTGTAGACGTTATTGTAGGCATTGTTGAGAAGTAAAATTGTTAATTACTTGTTAAGTGCAGTTAACTTTACTAACGAGTACTGGTTTCAGGAATCTTGAGAGAAGACAAAATCTGCCTCTTTCCTCGAGCAAAGCCGCGCGAACGGCTCTTCTTTCTGTTTCTTCTAAACTTAGGCGTTTTTCTTGGACAACTGCAGCAGATGATTCTAGCATTCGGTTGAACTCAACATCACCAGTCAAAGTACCATGACTTTGCGGTTGCCCTTGCCCGTGCAAATGTTGTCCTTTGCGCGCCTTTTTCTTTTGTAATCGTAATGTGTCTGTAGAGCGCTTTTTCAATTCTGCTCTTGCTTTTTTATATTCTACAACAAATACAGAACAAGCTAATGTTACAATCTTACAAAACTTATACTTAAATTATTGCAATAATGTCCGGTATTAACCTTTGGCATGTTCCTTATCTAAATTTATTAAAGACTTTTTCCAGTCTTCTAATTTTTCTTGAAGAGGCAACACCAAGCAATCCATAATAGCACTAGTAAAAACAAGTATAATTAAATACATATTAAACACTAATAAAAATATTATAATATATTAAAAACCAGTTACCTGGTAAAGGATTTCATACGTGTCTCCACAGCTTTATGTCTAAGACATATTCTAGTTAAAGCAGTTCCAATTTCTTTCGTTGCACCTAAAATATGTTATGTATCGGTTTTATCGAATGTCAACATGAGTAGAAGGTAAAATAATGTAGTAAAAAACCAGAAACAAATTTTGCATATGCAGTGCAATATATACAATTATACCATAAATAATTTACCTCTTGCATTAGTTGCAGCATCAGCAATTTTTTGAAAAGTTTCAAGATATGCAGAAACAGCTAAAATAGCAGCCCTGAAATAAACGAAAATATAATTAAAAATATTTTGTTATTAAAGTACTGAAAATTAAGTAACAAATAATACAATAAATGAAACTAATATATTACCTCAAGCATGAATGTAATTTTGTTGCTTTTGAAATTAAATCTTCCCATAATGGTGCACCATTCTAAAAACAAAAAAGTCTGTAACAGTTCCATATTTATGTTTAATCAATTTAGATATGCTCTACTTTTGCTTAACTATAGTTGTATTATGTGATATCGCAGAATAACTTTACATGTTCAATGCAGATAATGCAATCGCATACGCCTACTTATAATATATGATTACATGTTTTCCGAACATTGGCTATGAGTGTATTAATATGATATTAAACAGCACAAAGAAAAATTACATATTTAATTTTTAATTAAAAAATAAGTAAATAAATGAAAATTTGCAAATTAGATCTGAACAAATAAAATCATTAAAACATTAATTCTCCTCGTGTTTGTTTTGTCCCATTTTAATCACCGTAACATTTTAAATATTTATAACATTCAAAACATTTCGAATGAATGTTTGTTATGTTTGTATAATTTTCACATTACATTCGAATAATTGTTTTATTAAATCTCAAAATTCAAATACTATCCTTGCAAAATTGACTCGGGTTTAGATGTCATTAAAAATGATTGGACAATACATCAAAGCTCTTTGAACATGTGTAAATTAGTGTCTGTCCTCATTCTGCTGCATTAAATATCTCAATGGTTTCGGAGAATAGCTTTCAAAACCAGAGCACCGTAACGTTCACAAATAGTCTAATAATAACCGAAAGGAACATATTATTTCGTATGACCGTATGTACTAATTTCATAGTATTTACAAAAGTATAGGACTCAACGAAACAGCATCGACATCGCGCCTTTGCCTGCATCGTAAATTGTGCAACGTAGAGAAACGTACAAAAAACAATGAACAGGAAAAACGCAATTGAATAATTCAAATTTAAATATCGAATGTTAAAAACACAGCACTACTCACCTTCATGTCAGTGATAATCTGTTGAAAGAGGCCACCCAAAGCACTGCACTCTCTCTCAATTGTTGCATCCATCTTTGACGATCCGAAATGATTTTGTTACTTGCCCTCAATAAAGTTCTTCCGCATCAGAATCGTTGAAAAGTTCACTTCTTGTCATCTCTACGGGAATGTACGGAATTGCCGTAAGAATATTGACGGTCCGTGTAATTCGCCATTTTCGTAACGAACAACGATAAATTTGAAGTAACACGCGAGAAAACACGGTCGAGTATATCTACATAAATTCGACTGCCATGTACGCCACGATAATCGCCTCTACTGAATTAATTAGAAATACAAGGAATCACTGTCAAAGTCTCACAAGTACGTACTAAAAACGATTTGGAATCATAACATCGATTAGTTTCGCGAAGAAAGATTGTAAACACTAGGAACAGGTTTGACGAAGCAACGCACTTTTCGCAACAATCGAGTAAAGCTTGCGTCTGCGTCGCTTCTGTTTTCGTTGTAATATCTGGACACCCGTAGATGCCCCCTACTGCGACCCCGTTACAGAACTTCAAATTGAGGATTCGGAGTTATGTATATCTAATCGTTACTCAGGGTGAGGGCTCTCTCTCTTTCCCTACCCCTTCGACAATCACTTCCGGAGTGTCGACTATTGAAAGAGGACATCCTGCATCATTGCTTGCTTATTCTGATTGGTTATTCAATGCGACTATGAACACAGAGAATTCTCATAAAGACAAAACTCCGCCATTTTTCGAAAACGATTGACCAGTGCGCATGCGTCCGTAAATAGAACTATCGTGAATATAGCCTCGGAAGTCATTACATTCTATGCGCGTATCTACGCGAAAAATCTTCATTATCTACAGAGAGTAGGGGAACGCATCGGGAGATCTCTTACGGAATAGTCATTTCATATTTAGCGATAAAAGATTTAAATAAGTGGAAGTATGAGTCTTATATCAAAATATAATGAATCGTTTCATGATATGTTACAACAGTATTTCGTACAATTAATAGAAGCCATGCCGAGCATTGTAAAAGTCATTACACTTACTGGAGGTGTTATCGCCGTTACATCGTATGCACTTCACTGTACTCATGGTACATTTTTTAATTCATTATATTATATATATTTAAATTCAGCCCCCAGAAACTTAGATAGATTCTTAATTGTTCAATATTATATAACAAAATATTTCTTTTATTAAATTGTAGCACGTCGTCATAAAAGATTTGCTGCGCGCAAAACAACAGACAATTCAAAAACATCGCAAGAAATTAAAAATTATGAACGTTCGATCATTAGAGAACGAAGCGTAATTAGACATAATGCAATGATTCGTAAATTGGAATATTCAGCTGATGTAAATATACATTTTGTTATAAAAAATTCCAGTACAAATTTTTATGAAAATTATATTTAAATAGACTTGTTATACTGTTTGAATTACTTTCATTCCTTTACAGAGATGTTACGACAAAGTACATGCATTGAAATGCATTGATATAGTTATTTATTGTCCACAATTGTTGAATGTAAAGTCTCCAATTAATGGTATAACACCCTTTCATCGAGTTTGTTACCATGGTCATACATGCTTAATAACATTTATGTTAGGAAAAGGTATAGAACACAAAACGAAAATAATAATATTTGATCAAGTAGTATTAAGTTTTATGAAATAATCATAGGTGCAGATCCTCTTATAACTACAATAGCAGGAGAAAATGCTTTATGCGTGGCTATATATTATTATCTTAATAATCCATTAAAAGATGATTTTTCTTGTCTGGAAATATTGTATGAAACAGGTTTGTTATTTTAAATGTACAATTCTGCATAAAATAGTAAGAAAGTTTGTATTATAAACAGAAAAAATGTTCTTTTTCAGGATGCAGATTTGGTGTTAAAAATTCATGGTACGATATTTTTCTAAAAATGGCAGTTACTAAAAACCATACAAAATTGATGCAATGGTTAATTTTACATCAACAAGTACCACCCTGTGAAATTTCTAGAAGTTATTCCACACCAGCATAATAATGAGCAGTTTGAAATAATAGATAAAACAGTACAAAATATACATTAATATATATTTATGAAGAGAATAATTGCTTTAGTATTTAACTTATGTTTAACAAAACTGTGTGAAACTGTTACTGTGTATTTTATATGACATATCTAGAATAAAAAAAAATATTACTACATTACTACATACTGGGTTTTTACAATAATAAAAATTAAATTTAGTAAACCTTTCAAATTGGATTACGTACAGTAATGGGAACTACTCCTGCACGCTTCTCTTACTCCCTAAGCTGGCGTGCACATCCCCACCATTTTACTGCGCATCCAATCCGTAATGGATCCTATCTTAGCAGTGAATCGTCAACCAATCAGAGCAAAGAAAATTTCTTTATCAACCTTCGCTAATGGCCTAAAAGTGTGCAGGAGTAGGATCTATTACTGTATTAACCCTCGGAAGTTGAACTATTTTCACAACTATACAATTAAGAGAGGATGTTTACGACCATTCTCAGATTTCTTCATCAAATATTTCTCGATATTCAAATATGTTGAAGATATTTTATGTAGACTTATTAGTCTTTATGTTGTTCCTGGTGTAACAGCCATTTATTTAATTGAATTGCCGAAAATTGAGTAATTAAGTGGACGATTTAAATACACTTGGTCAAAATGACCCGGTAACCGCAGTCCGAGGGTTAAATACTAGACATACATATGGGTATCAATTATATCTACATAGATGGCGTTTCAGCAGTTGCAGATCCTTATGTGTACACCTGCATACATATATGTACATATAGGAACACGGACCTCGTCTAAAGCAGCTAACGCAGTATAAAGTCCTAAGCCGCGATAGTAGACGTACATATGTAGAGATAATATAAAATATATGTACATATATACATTGCATGCGAAAACTCAATCTTCCAACGTTACATAACCTTTATCTGCTGGGTAACTTAATCCTAACCCGGCCCTATCAAGTTACACAATTTAAACAGTATAAACGTCAAACCAAAAAATTAGAGGTCAAAAAATCTACTACTTACAATGGCAAACACTGGTTTATTAGTTCTAACGAATCCATCAAAAGTGACGAAATTATTGCCGATCATCAAAAAGCACGTGTTAAAAACTTTATATATACAGTACTTCCCAGAAAAGAACATTTTTAAACCTAATAAATACACAGTTACAAATTCTCCGCAACGATTAACAAATTATGTTCGAACTATTTCAAATATTTACATTGATACATCTACAATATCCTTACTACTAGACATTCGAGTTTTACTGACAAGTATGAAAAATTCTAATTTATCGATAATAAATACCAAAAAACCCGTGGAGATAGTCATTTTTGATCACCACTATAGTAACAACGAAGCTAATGCATTCATACAAGATTGTCTAGCTAATGCTTCCATGAATTGTAACTTTATTAGCTGGAATGATGATCAGAAATCAGAAAACACAGATGCAAAGACATGCACAGAGGAAGGAAAGATTTATAAGAGCGTGGTACTTGGTGGCACATTTGATCAAATGCATAATGGTCATAAAATACTTTTAAGCGAAGCTGTATTGCATTGTACAGAAAAACTTACAGTTGGGGTAACTAGTACAAATATATTACAGGGTAAGAATTTTAAATAATGTTAAAATGTAAATTTTTGGTACTCCATTTATAAAAATTTTAATATAATAATTTCTATAGGGAAATTATTATGGGAGTTGATAGAACCATGTTCAACAAGGATCTCCAATGTTAAAGACTTTTTAGAAGACATAGATTCAACCTTGATATACGACGTGGTTGAAATAAACGATATGTATGGCCCAACAAAGAATGATCCAACATTTGAGCTATTAGTAGTTAGCGAAGAAACAAAGCGTGGTGGAAACAAAGTAAATGAAATGCGTATGCAAAAAAATTTGTGTAAATTAGATATTCATGTTGTGGAATTGGTGAAGGATGAAAATTACAGAGCACATGAAGAATCTAAAATTAGTTCCACTAATAACAGAATACGATTACTGGGAACGAGGCTTCGACCCCCTGTATGTATTAGTCATTAAACTATGGATCTTTATGCATTATTAAAATATACGAATCTGTAAAGAAATCATGTATAGTATTTTAATTTTGTTATTGGCATAAAAATCTTTTAATTAATCAAAAAAAAAATTGTTCCTTTATTTCAGACTTCATAAAATTAAATATGGAAATAAGAATTTGTATAAAGATCTACAGTCTATTAAACATGCTACTATTGAAAAGAATTTTAGTTTCAGTGTTTTTTTAGAATATAGGAGACAAACCTCTGAAACCCTATATTATTGGTTTAACTGGTGGTATAGCGAGTGGAAAGTCATCAGTAGCTGAAAAATTGAAAGAACTAGGAGCAGGTCTTGTAAATTGTGACAAAATAGCACATGACTTATATTTACCTGGAAACCAATGTTTTGATGCTACAATTAAAGCATTTGGCTCTACTATTTTGGGATTGGATGGATTTATTAATCGAAAAATACTTGCAAATATAGTATTTAATGATCAAGTAGGTTCACATAAACTAATATTGTCTACGATCTTGTTAACATGTTTGAATTTATGTTTGAGAACATAAATTTATTTCCAGACACAGTTAGATAAATTGAATAAAATAGTTTGGCCCATAATTTTAGATGAAGCAAAGAAAAAGATAAATGATTTTTATGCAAAAGGGTTTGATATAATTGTCATGGAAGCAGCAGTATTAATTCAAGCCAACTGGCAAAATCATTGTCATGAAATTTGGACGTGTATTATCCCCCAAGAGGAGGTCAGTACTTCTTAATTAAATCTTTTATTATCAATATTAAATTTTTAATCCATAATTTTATATTTGATTAAAAAGAATTTAAAGTACTTCAATTTCTAGGCTGTAAAACGAGTGATGGATAGAAATGGATTAACTGAAACTGATGCAAAATTACGTATTCAAGTTCAACCTAGTAATGTGGAACAAGTTAAAGAAGCTAATGTTGTTATATGTAGTTTATGGAGTCATGATGTGACTCGAGGTCAAGTACAAAAAGCATGGAATGAACTAAAGAGTTTCTTGGTAACCCAAGAAAAAAGTTAATACAACACTAAACGTTCTGAGTAAACTCCCGATTAGG